CTGGTTGAAGTAATTCTCTCCCCTCCAGCGGCTCGGGCTATAGCTGCCCGTTGAACGTGACTTGAGAGGCTGGCACCAGGCCCCCTTCCGCTCCTAGAAACTGCCCCAGGACTGGAAAAAGGCTGTTAGCTGACATCGCGCACCTTCGCCAACCGTGGAGCATCGAGTTCAAGCTGGTCCGCCTTCTCCCTACCAGGCACCCCCGCGGGCCCACCTGGATGTTCATCTCGGGCCATCTCCAGGTGTGATGCTCAGGGCTTGGCTCTTCACCCAATTGTCAGAGAAAACACGTGGAAGCTGTGATGACGGGGAAGAGAGGGAGGGGGAAGGGCAGGCAGTTCCCCAAGGTCGACGCTGCAGATACAGGTGAATGAGGTGTAGGGTGGAGCCCTCGCCCCCACTTTCTTCCTGCTCTTCTCCCGTTTCCAGGGCCTGTACTCAGTGCCCTCCAGGCAAGGGACGGGGGCGGGGGGCACCTTCGCACAGAGTCTCTGCCCCAAAGGAACATGTGGCCCAAGACAGCCAGCAGTGAAACCCACACGGGACAAACGTCACAAACCACAGGGATAGACAAATAGCAGGTGATGTTTCCGTAGCATCAAAGGTACATGCTTCTTACAGGGCAGCAGAGGTAGCTGGAAACCCAGCACCGCCTTCACGCGGCCCGGGGACCGGCAGGCCTGAGTCAGGTGTGTTCCCTCAGACCTACGCATGCCTGATCCCCGCGGGCAGCGCACTTGCCCAAAACAAAGGAAAATGACACACAGGCAAGTAAATACACACTCCCGCACCTCCCATCTGAGAGCAACTGGGCAGAGTCCCTGCAGCACAAAATGATGTTTGCCTGCACGGCAGGGGCGTGAATCTTTTCCACAAGAGGAAACTATTTCTGCAGTCATTCTCTGCTGCTCTAACTTACAGGCTAGGTCCTCTGGGGCTGGATCTCTGAGAACTGTGCAGTGAGTTTCTTTGTTGCAGTAACAAACAAGTGCAGCTGTTGGCATATGCCTGCTGAACAGCATGGGTCCAAGGGATGCGAAATAAGGTGCCGAAATCAGAGCAGTGAAAAGTGACACCCTAACCTGGCAATGCCGGCACCTTGAGCCTCCCTCCCCTGCAGCAGCCAGGCTGGCTCCCCAACCTGGGAAGCTGTTCCCCCCTCCCTCCCCCTCTCTCTCCTTCCCTCTGTCTAGTGACCTCCTACTCATCCTGAATCAGGCTTGTTTTGCCCCGTGTATGGCAACCCAAAATGCTGAGACGCCAAGGTTTGCAGCAAAGAGAGGGATTATTCGCAAGGCAGCCAGGCGAGGAGATAGGAAAACAAATCTCCAATCCGGCTCCCCGAAGGCAAGCGGCCGGGGCACTTAAGGGATGAGGACTAAAGAAGCAGGGTGATCCGAGGCTTGGGGAGCGTGGGGAGAGCTGATTGGGAAAAGGTGTGGTGATGGTCGTTCTGCGCAGGCGTAACTAAGCTACAGGCCTCTGCACGTTCAAAAGGTCACCCACCACGTGGACATGCACGCCTGCCCAGTTGAAGGGTCAGTGGTCCCACCCAGTCTTAACCAGCTCAGTTCGAACTGGACACAGCTGACTCTCGCTCAGCTGAACTAGACGCAGCTGACTCCAACTTTCTGGAAAAAAACTGGAGCAAACATCTTATTGTTTAGGCTCCATGCGGCCTGGAGAACAAGCAAGTTTTTTGTAGCAACAATTAAAACAACCTTGATTAGTAAAGGCAGGTGTGATGGAGTTAGTTAATGATCACCCTCGGTTTTGATCCTTCAGACCCAGCTAGGCCTCCCCTGTTGCAGGCCTCTGACACCCCTGTAGACCCATCCCCCCGCTGCGTCCCCACCGCACCGGGGGTCTGTGGCTACCCCTGTGACATTTAACACTTTCCAGTGTGAGCATCACCTTCTCTACTCGTCTGTAAGATTACTGGTCTTCGTGTCCTACCCACCAGTTCTCCTGAGGTAGAGAAAGTGCTTGGACGTGTTTTTGAAGCCACTTCTGCCTTACTCGGTCCTGGAGGAAGCCAGACACTATGCTGTGAGGACACTCACGCTGGCCTGTGGAGAGGCCCCCGGGCGGAGGAACTGATGCCTCGTGCCCACAGCCAACACCAGCTTGCCCACCGCGTGAGGGAGACACGGAGTGGGGGGCAGACCTCGTGCCCCAAGCCGAGCCTTTGGATGATGCAACCTCATCAAAGATGCTGGGCCAGAACCACTCTTTAATTTGCTCCTGGAGAAATTGTGAGATTGTGTGTGCTGATGAAGGTTTTGCAGCCGAGGGTGACGTCCAGTTAAGTCCATTGCACCTGTACCTGCCTCACCCATGAAGCTCGCTTTCATTGCTGCCAGGAAAGACTTGAACATCCTCCACATGTCACGGAGCCCAAACAATAAGATGTTTGCCCTAGCTGTTTTCCAGGAACTTGGAGTCAGCTGTGTCTAGTTCAAGCCCCAGCCACTTAAGGCTGCTTAGGACCACTGACCCTCCAACTGGGCATGCACAAGTATCTGCTTAGTGACCTTTTGTCATCAGGAGCCCAAAACGCCACCTTCAGAACTGCTAACTCCTCCGTCTTCTGAACAAGCTCCCGTGGAAAAGCCTGCAGCTTAACACCTGCTCAGAACAACAATGAAACTCACCTTTTTCTTATTTCCAATCACCTTTCTGCCACGCCCCATGCCTCAGACTACGCTGCTTCCTTACCCCATAAATACCCCAGGCCCTCGCCTTCGGGAGGTAGGTTTGCGGTTTGTTCTCCAGTCTCCTCGTCCGGCTGCCTCTGCTCTTTCTCGGCTGCAAACCTCAGTGCCTCGGTGTCTGGCTGCTACGCAAACTGAGCCAGGTTTAGTAACAGTTTTTACGGAACTTCTTATCGTAGTGATAGGTAAGTACAGACCCTGATAGGTGAGCTGGGTTGGAGCTGTCGTGGGGAGACCTGGGGAGAGCCCGGTCTGAGGGGGCTCATAGGCCCTGGGGTTTGGACCAAACCAGAGAGAGCAAGTTAGTGTAAACCTCAGGAAGAGAAACCAAGGCTCGTCTCCCGGGGCCCCAAACAGGGGAGTAGGTCATAAACATCAACCAGACGCAGCTGTGGTCTAAGGCCTGATGCCCTCTGTCCCTGAATCCTGCATCCCACTGGACAAGGCAAACAAGCTGACCTTGAAAGCCCCGGTCTTACTCAATCTCTTGACTTTACAGCGGAGGACTGACTTGTCTGCTGGGTTGAGAGCTGCGCCCCGTTCCTCTGACTCCAGCTGAGCTGCTCCGGGCTGCACTGCCCCACGGACTGGCTTCAAGGCTGATCGCCTCCCTCACCCACGCATCACCTCCCCCCGCCTACTGGCCAGGACGGTAGTCACTCCCCCAATGGCCTGTCCTTCACGCTTCTGGTGGCTCTTGCACTAATTGCGGCGGTAACTCAACATCCAGCCTGGGCGGTGTCTGCAATCTCCCCCAGGTTCTACCTGGTGTTCCCCAGGGGACCCCTTAAATTCAGCTACACAGCTTCCCACCCACCCCCAGGCCTGGGCAGGACTCTCGTCACCCAGTCTCTGGAGACGTCCTTTCTTCAGTCTCCGGAGAGATCCTTTCCTCAGAAGCAGGGCTGTCTCCCAGCCTCTGCAGCCGTGTCCCCAATGTGCTGGGAGGCCCAGCAGGAGAATGAGATGCAGAGGAGAGCCTGCAGGGCAGCCTTAGAAAGGCTCTCTTCTCTCTGCACCTCCTCACTACCCTTCCATCCAGACTTCTGTGTACACTAGAAGGTTCCAGCAGTGACTTGGCTAAGCCCCTGGCTTCAGAGCTTGGGCAGGTTTTCCAGATGACCTGCCGACTGTCACCTATTCATTTGTATTGAGAATATTTTCTGGATGCCTTCCGAACTCCCTCCTGGAGTTACTTAACTGGCCCTTCGTTCTCCACCTCCCCTGGACCCGAAGAACAAGCCCTCTCTCTTCTCTCCTCACTTCAGACCAAACAGTGACCATCCCCCTCCCACCCCCTGCTTCTCCGCCTCCCTTTGGGTTGGATGGAAACCTACAGGTCACGATGCAGGAAATGGTCCCTGGTGCTCTTCTTGATGAGCAAAAACAAGTTCTGAGACCTCGGGGAGTTTTTGCAAACCTTTGGAAATGAATCAGAAGTTTTGAAAGTTGAATCTTTAAAAAGGTCCCCCCGTGGCTGCAGCCAGATTTTGGCCCCTGGCTTGAGTTCTGAGCTCCCTCTGGTCTTGAGAAAGGGTTAGGAAGTGCCTGTGCTGTGCCCCCTCCCCAGGGGGAGAGCCAAGGTAGGCAGGCTGGCTGCACCTGCAGGAGCTCGAGGCCCAGGGCCCCTCTGCCCCCACCTGCGCCTGCCCTGCCCCCGGCTCCCCCTGGAAGAGTCTATGTAGGTGAAGTTCTCTCCTGCATCCCTCACTGTCACTTATCCTCTGTCTTTCTCATTCTCCAAGGCACTCATCTTTCCCTCTTGGGACTCGCTCAAGCCCACGCCTTCCGTGGCCTCAGCCCATCCTCAGTATAATGGAAGGTTTGGAGCACATCCAGGCCCAGTCATTTAGAGCCACAGTCACAATTCTGCATTTTTTAACCATTCTCTACCCGCTATTCTTTAATCGACACATTCTGCGTTTAGTTAAGTGTATTTAAAAGATGGTGATTATAAGTGGAAAACCAGCTTCCCTCGCTATAACCAGAAGGAAACAATAACAATCACCATCCTGAAAGCAACACGGTAAGTCCTGCCCGAGACACTCTTGCCTTGAAAGGGAGGTCACCTCTCTCCTTTGTTACCTTTGCCAGGTTAAGTCCTAAAATCATCTCAGGTACCATCAGGCCCCAAACTTTAGTCAACAACGGACTCCCTTTCAGATCTACCAGTTTAGGACTTCCCTGGTAGTCCCGTGGTTAAGACTCCACGCTTCCACTGCAGGGGGCATGGGTTCGATCCCTGGTCAGGGAACTAAGATTCCACGTGCCACGCAGCATGGCCAAAAAATTAAAAGAAAAAAAGTCTACAAGTTACTTTTCTGTTTCTTTCTCCCCTCTCTTCCGCCCCCACCCCGTAATAATCATAACATACATGCAAACACAATCCTCTGGTCTAAAAGTGCGTATGCCAAAAAAGCGTTTTTGTTTTTGTTCTTTTTTTGCTAGCACCAACCACGGAGCAAGACACCAGCATTGTCTGGGGAGCGATAACAGGCTGTGTTTCCAATATCTCTGCCCACTGGCCCTGACAGATACCGTGGTGGTTCCTGCCAGGAAATCCCCTCTGCCTCATGGAAAACCCAGAAGAGGAAGTAGAGTCGCGAGGACTGTTCAGGCTCCACCCCAAGATGTTGGAGTGAAACCAGCTCATCTTCTCGGGTCCGGAAGCCCATGGGCTCTGCACACGCTTGCAGGGACCCGGGAGCCTGCGACAAGACACACACACACCACCGAAGCCCCATGCGGTTGCCTCTGCACCATGTTTAACCAGATCCGAGCTGGTTTGGAGTCCAACTACCACTTGATAAAGCCCGCAGAGGAAGAGCTGTTGCTACCTCCGTTTTGCAAACGAGCAAACCAGGGCCAAGAGCTCTGCCAGAGATCTAACAAGGTCAGCTTCGCTCCCGCACCCACAGTGGGCATGAGTAAGTCCTCACCAAATGTATTGCCCTTCCTTCCCGAACCCCGAGGCCACTTGTGTGTTCTGAGCAGCTGTAGGAGGAAAGCCTGGGTCGGCCTCTGCCCTGGTGCCCCCAGCCCACCCCGCCATGCCCACAGACTTCCCTGGGCCTCCTCTCCTGGTGATAGGGCGCCCTGTCCTGCCTTCTCTCCCCTCAGGGACCATGACACCCGTCCTTGCCTGGGCCATAGCCCCAGGGAACAGCTGGGCCTCAGTTACAGGGTTGCATCCTCACGTCAAAGACCACCCGCCACCCAACCCCTCTGCCCGGGGTTAACGGGGCTCGGCCTCGGGAGTTGGGGGCTGGGGGGCTCGGCCTCGGGAGTTGGGGGGTGGGTGCCCCCCCAGCCCTTCTCAAACCCCTGGCTCTCACTTCCAGGGCCTGGCGTGTGGCTGCCCCACAGCCTAGGAGGCCTCTGTCCCCCCGCCTGCTCTGGCCTCGCAGTGGAGGGTCTTCAAGAATCTCGCATCTGACACCTCCCAACTTTTCTCCCACCCCGGACCCCTGCTATTCCCCAAACTGTGTTTTCACCCAACAAACCACAGTTGCTGCATCATTTGTTTTCCAGATGTGATCAAAGATGGGCGGAGCTGCTCAGACGTCCCTGAGCATCAGGAGAAACTCGCTGGCTCTGCTGGGCGATGCCCTGGAGAGCCAGGGAACTCCTTCCTCGACATGCATTTGTGAGCAAGTGCTGGACACTTTTTACCCACTTATACTTGTCTCTTGTGGCTGCTGGAATGAGTGACCGCAAACCTGGTGGCTCTGTCCTCACAGATCTGGAGGCCAGGTGTCTGTGGGCAGGTGGGGCTGGTTCCCAACGGGAGGCTCCGGGGAGAGTCTCCTCCTCGCCTCTTGGGGTGCTGGTGGCTGTCTGCATCCTCGGCACACCTGGCTTGTAGAAGCAACCCTTCCATCCCTGGCCTTCCCCACTCTGTCCAGGGTCTGTTTCCCAGAGAAAACTTCACACATCGTTAGAGTTCAACACATAAATTTGGGGGGACACAAAATGCAGCCCGTAACACTCAGTATTTCCAATAAAACAAGGATCTTTAGACCCACCTTCTAAACGATTCCCAAACTACAGAACCGTTGAACTTCAGAAACGGGAGGAACATCAACGTCCATCCAGCCCAGGACCCGCGAGATGGGTGAGACTCCTCCACGGTCCTTCCCAAATGTCTCCCGAGCATCTTAGGGAACGCCTCTGTCCCCCGTCTCCCGAGGCAGCCCCAGACCCCTCGGGTGGCCCTGTGGTCTGGGAGCGTCATCCTGCTGAGCTGCCGTCGGGCTCCCCACCCCACCTCACCCCCCGCCCCCAGCACACATGCCGGCCCTGGGGCCGCTTGGAGCAGGTCCGAACCCCTTTCCAGGGGCGGCTCTTCAGCTGTGCAGCAGCCACTGTTCGGGTCTTCCTGCTCTGGGCTGAACGCCCCCCCTGCAGTGTCTTCCTTGTCACCCTTCTCTGGGCAGGTTCCAGTCCATCTCTACCCTTCACCGAGAAGGTGAGGCGCCTGGAAATGAAAGCAATGGTCGTGTCTATGCTGTTCATCCATCCTATGAAATCAGCCCCGCCGCTGGGATAACAGCAATGCGCAGGACGCATGGAGTCCAGCGGTCCTGACACTCATGTTCTGGCGGGGGCGGGGGGAGGAATGGTGGACGCAGAGGAACAAGCAAGGGACAGAGCGGAGCCATGCTCCCTGGAGTGGAAGCACGACCGTCAATAGTGAGGCAGGCACTCTGGGCTGAGATCCAATGACAAGGATAGCAGCTCAGGCAAAGTCCCTAAGGTAGCAGAGCCCCCCTCCTGCACACCCCCTTCCCAAAGGCCCCACCAGCTCCTTTCTCTCTCCAGACCTTAGGTGCTTCTGAAGCAGGGCCAGCCCAGGGGCAGCTCAGCCAGTGCAGGCCCACCCAAGGTCATCGCCCTGGGAAGGAGGCTCGTCCTTAAAGACAGAGATTCCAGAATTTCAGTGGCTTCGAGGAGAGAGGATTATGTAGCAGTTTAGGCAGCCCACACTTCTCTGGACAAGCACGGGGTCCGGGTGTTTGGTGCCTTCCCCAAAGGTATGAGGCTGCTTCTGACCAGGACGAACCACGAGCCTAAAGATGGGCACAGAGGGTGCTTAAAAGGCAGGCTCTGCAGTCCTGGCTCCAGTGAACCCCGAACTCTCCCTGGGCCTGAAATGCCCACTACCCACATGGTCTTAGAAGCCCTGGACACTGAGAGACCCGGCTGAAACGTCATGTCCAGCTGCCTCTGCCCCCGGCAGGGTGAGTCCCCATCCCAGGGGGTACCAGCTCTCCAGTGGGCACCCCCTCCCCAACAGCGATCATCTGTGCCCACGTTAGTCCCCGATACAGGGAGCTTTCAAAGTGGAGGCTTTCTTGCATCACCAGCGCCTAACACTGTGTCAGGAAATAATGGTGAAGGAAGAAGAGAAGGAGGGGAAGATGCAAGGACAAAGGAGTCCCTGAGCTCCAGCAGGAGCCCGGCTCTCGGGGTGAGTGTCGGCTCCTCTTTGCACACTCGGGCGGCTCCCATCTCCCCCTGAGCCTGCTGTGACCTTCCCCCCATCCTCACAGGCCCACGGGGAGGCGTGGGGCTCAAGGAAACACTGTGGGAGGAATGAATGAGTGAGTGAATGTCACCGCCATCACCACCTCGCTGTCGTGACCACACGGGTCTGGATGCAGGAAAACTAGTACTCCTTGAGAGCACTGGCATCCCCTCCCCGAGAACTGACTTCCTTCTGGGCCAAAGGTCAGAAAGGTGGGGGCTCCATGTTGGCTCTCAGGGGGCAGAGCAGGTGGGGGGCCGTGGGTCACACAGCAGAGTACTGTCTGTTCCCAAAGTGACTCAGACTGGACTTGGGTGACAGCAGCCTCCCAGTGTGGGCTGCAGAGCCTGTGCTCGCCACCCTGCTCCACCCCCCAGCACTGCGCCCCCTTCCTAGTGGGCCAGAGGAGGCTCAGGCCTGGGGCACTGGGCAGAACCATGGCTTCGGGGCAGGTAAGGGTTTCATACTCTTCTTGGCTTCTCAACCTTGGCCATACAAGCACCTGGGAACATGAAGCAGGTGGCTTAGCCCGGGATCCCTGGACCAAGGAGAGGGTCATAACATCATGGAGGGGGAGGCCCACACGTGGCCTTTCTCAAAAGCTCTGCAGGTGCTTTAGTTGGCAACCAGGAGTGAGAATCACAGCTTATAGAGAAGGCTCGGGCTGGAAGGGCAGAGGTGATGCAGGAAGCTCGTGCCAGTGCCCTAGGGCGGGGTCATCTGAGTGGGAAAGAGACCCAAGCGCCCGAGATAGCCAACAGCGGCAGGTGAGCAAGACGGAGCTTGCAGAGGCACTCGGGCCCTTTCCCAAGTTGTGGTAATAACGGAGCAGAACACAGGAGGGGCAGGTGAGGTCACCTGTGCTGGGTAATGCCGGGGGTGGGGGGAGGGCCCTGGTTTCCCAGGAGTGGGCTGCTCCCTCTGGAGCGTGACCACCCAGCAGAGTCCTGGTGAAGGGGAGGGGTAGGGCAGCCATATTCATGACCCCCAAACTCAGAACCCGAACAGGTTGACAGAAAATGGGGCTGGATAATTTATCTGGATTGTTCCTGAGAATCTAGGGCATAGCCTGTATCTATTGAGAACATACTCTTAACTTCTTTTTTGGGGGGGAGTGGGGTGCTTGAAGAGAGAAGCATTGATCTGAAATCTTATCAACTGGTACAAGTGGCCTGACATCTAAATGGTTGTTTGTCCTACCAGTTACCTGCCCTGGAATCTATTTCCCTCCTACACCGAGAGGGAAAGAACTTTGTGATGGTTAACTTTAATGTGGCATCTTGGCTGGGCTAAATGGAGCTGGGGAAACTGTTAATGGGTGCGTGTGTGAGGGTGTGTCCAGCAGCCCTGAGCATGTGACCGGGTTCAGCAGATTTCTCTCCCCATTGTGGGTAGGCATCACCCAATCCACTGAGGGTCCCAAACAGAACAAAAAGGGAGAGGAAGGGCAAGTTCACTCTCTGGTTTGAGCTGAGACATCCACCTTCTCCTGCCCTCGGACATGGGTCTGGTTTGAGCCTTCAGACTAAGATCAGGAGGCTGTCAGCTCCCGAGGCTCAGGCTTTGGTTTGGACTGAACTACGTCCCCAGGTCTCCCGGGTCTCCACCCACAGCAGGCAGGTCCTGGGGCTTCTCTGCCTCCTCCGTAATGCATGAGCTGATTCCTATAACAAATCTCCTCGTGTCTCTACAGACCCTACCGGTTCTGTGGCTCTGTTTCTCTGGAGAACCCGAATACAGAACAGCTGGGATGTTATGATCATATGCGGACTGTCTTCATGGTTCTTAGAAGCCGGGGCATAAGGTGCCCTCTCTCTCCAGTCACACATCTTCCCGTCGAGTGTGAAGTTGTAGAGATTCCTTTTCACCCCATCGGCAGCATGGGAGCCACCTCCTCCCTGCAGAGGTCATGCCTCGTGTGGGAGGGAGCCTGCCAGGTCTCCGGGCATCTAGTGCAGACGGTGGGAGGGTTTGTACTAAACCAACCCCAATCCAGAAATCCACACGCCCTGAGCTCAATGGGTTTACAATCTAGGGTAAATGTTGATGACTTTTATTTTGTTATGTGGGGTCCTGAGGAGGGAGACTTGGCCTTGTTCACAAGGAATTACAATACGAGATGCACTTTGAGAGACTCATAGTAAGAGGGAGATGTTTAGTCATTCACTCCAAGGGTATATGTTAAGGATCCACAACATGCTAGGTCCTGTTCGGGAGGCCTTCCTGGAGGAGGAGGCATTTGATATGGACCTTAGAAGGCCTGTCAGGAATAGATATAAATTAAGATTTAAAAGATACAGGGACAATTCAGTGAAGAAAATGTATTATTTAGTATATGGAATTTGAAACATCTGTTTTGACCAGAGGTAGCATAATTCATTAAAATCAATGCCTGGAAGGATTTGGAGGAATTTTTGCTTTAGTTGAGATTAGTTTTGTTTTCACCAAAGTGGTTTCACCCCAACCAGTTCCCGTAAATGTATCAGTTCAGTTCTGCTTAGCCAAATGTCAGTTTTGTGTGTGATTCACATTCCAGGCACTCGGGGTGAGTGTCGGCTCCTGTTTGCAGGACAGCAGCGAACAGGTCAGCTCCGCTCTGCGTCCACCCTGGCGATGAAATGCGACTGTTCATCTCTGTCAGGTTATCGTTCGATGTTTAGGTGAACTGACAGCAACTCAAACAATTTCCAAGCCACAGTCAAACTAAAAACTGAAATACCAAACTAAACAAAACTTCAGAGAAATATTCAGCAACGGCTAAGAACGTCTTATCCAATGTGAATCCCTGTAATCCTGTGAAGTGTCTTTAGAAATAATTTTCTGGGAAATTGGGAAATACCAGCAAGCGGACCATTTGCAGAACTAGTCTCAGCAAATGGATTTTCAGAGGTGGCTTTCAGAGCCCCCGGTTTACTGATGTGACCTCGAGCCGCCTTGGCTCCTGGGAGGCTTCTAGCTCGCTCTCCTTATCCTCTTGGGGTCTAGATGGGGCAGGGAAGCTTCAGGACTAGGGGCTAGGTAACCTGGGCCACCCCCTCACCACCACCAAGGTCATCCAGGCCACCTGGAGCCAACGTGAAGCTCTTTTTCTGTCCCCTGCAGTGTCCGGTGTAAAGAGAAAGTCACTAAAACACAGGCCGGCAGATTTAAGAAGATGGTGAAGCCCTGGTCCCCACCAGACCCCTCCCCAGGGCTCCTTCCTCCAAGGGTGGGCCCACCGGGACGCCCCCTGGAAAGCAGCTGCGGTCCATCCAGGTCCTTCTCTCATCCGAGGCCTGAAGTAAGTCACTTCCTCTCCCAGACCCCCAGATTCCCGTTCTGTTCCCCAGGCGATAGATGAAGAGATATTTCTGCTTTCTTCCTGCCCTGTGGCCCCATCGAACACTTTTCGGCAACAGCTCGGCAGGGGTGAGCCTCAGGGGTCCCACCTCTCACCCCAGCCTGACCCCCACCTCCCTGGACTGCTGGTGGCTTTACCTCTCTCCTTCCCTCTGTAAGTTCTAACCGTCCATGAACTGCTTGCATTGTTCTCAGTAGAACGTATTTTACACACACGAGAATATGGAGAATAAAGTAACATCCCTGTATTAGCATCCTAGAACCAGGCAGCCTAGGAAGCAAAACCTGGAGGCATTGATCAAGAGCCTCCCGGATCCCTCCTCCTCCCCCTCCAGAGGAAGCACCAGTCCTGAACTTGGAGTTTACTGAGTAGTGTTTTTAAGGAAAGAAAACCAGTTTTATACTCCACAGACTTGAGCCACTGTCCTCAGAGCTTTGGGCCTCACGGGACAGTAAGATGTCAAAATTAATGTTGGGCACTTGTGGAATTCCCCACACTTCAGAGGAAGTACGTGAAAGAAAAAAAAAACTCACAAAACTATCACTTACCATCATAGTCACTTCATGAAAGAAAGGACATTTAACACAAACTATAGAAAGAGCATATTCTCAGAATTTAAGAAACTGAATACATTAGGTTTGTCAAAACGTCTTTATTTTTCTTGTTTCCACACAGAGCCTGGAACACTTCCTCCTGGACCGGCCTGGCATTTAGGAACCTCTCATTTAGAAACTAACTTCTATGACCTGCGTCCCTAAGAGGATGGGGAGTTTCTTGGGGGGGGGAACCACCCGGGGGAACCACCCCCATCCAGGATGGGTGCCTGCTGCTGCCACCGTCCCCTCCTCTGATTGTGCCCCACTTCTTGTCTCCTGTCTTATCTCCTCCAGATGCTCCAGCCCCCGCCCCCCCGGAACCCTCAGGGACAGGAGCCTCCTGCCTTTCTTCTCTGTCTCCCCACCCTCCAATCCAGGTCTGAGGAAAGGACTTCGGCCAGACCCTGAGTCAGGGCTAGGATGGACGGGGCAGCCCTCTGTGAGGTCACGGGAGGCTGAGTGACCCACTGAAAATGTCCCCAAATGGAACAACTTCATCGATACCATAGCTGCACCTGGGTAGCGTGATACCGCTCCCACTGCACTGGCACAGAGCTGTCACTCACCCGCCCACGTGCCGGAATGAGGGGGATGGTAAAGGCCGGGCAGGTATTTTGCAATAACTCCTCAGGTAAGCGGGCTCTGCCTCTCCCTACCCTGCGCTGAGAACCTTCGCCTTGGCTCTGGCTAGGATGATTTTCGTTGCTGTTTTTTTTTTGGTTTGTGTTTTGTTTTGTTTTTTTCTTTTAGCCATGCTGCACAGCTTGAAGGATCTTAGTTCCCCGACCAAGTATCAAACCCACACCCTGGGCAATGAAAGCGCAGAGTCCTAACCACTGGCCTGCCAGGGAATTCCCCGGCTAAGAGAGTTTTTTAAAAACACAGCAACAGCACAGAAACCCAAGTTCAAATGGTACCTCAGCTTGACGCGGGGGGCAGTGCTGCAGGCAGACCCTCGTCTCCCATCTCCATGTTCTGGACTCCCCCCACCCCTCCATGGGCGCTCCCCAGCCTGGGAGCCACCTCAGAGCCCCCCACCACAGAAAGGCCCTGAGAGGCTGCAGCCAAGGGGTCTGGGGGGGCCCCTTCCTCCCTGAGCCGTGTCCTCCTCAGATCTGACTGGGAAACGCCCCCCCAAGTGCAGCCCTCTGCCCTTTACCCATCACAGCACCTCTCGTCCTTCCCGTTCCCACCTGTCCTGCCCTCCTTCAGGTGGGGCAGGGCCGGTCCTCCGGGGCCACCACCTTCACTGTAGAAGATCCCATGTCTCAAAGGCAGGACAAGCATACGTGTGCGTGCACGCGCTCACATATGCACGCATGCACACATGCATCTTTTTCTTTTAGTTCGAGCCTGAAGAACAGTTGGCTACACGCAAAGGATGATAAACTTCGTTTGTGGTGCAGGTATGTCCCAGCCCTTGGTCCAGGCTCCGGCCTCAGGTCCTGACCAGAAGCTCAGGCAGACCCTCGGGTCCCCTCCATCCCCCTCCATCCCCCTCCATCCCCCTCCATCCCCCTCCCACCCCCTCCATCCCCCTCTATCCCCCTCCCACCCCGTGGCGCTCACCAGCCTCCTCGTCCACGGGCATCAGATGGGGGTCTGCTGGCCGTGTCCCCCACTAGGGCCAAGTGAAAGAGGGAGAGGCTCAACAGAACCCCATCGTCTGGGGCCCTTGGACACCCGCCATTCAAGCGCAGTGTCACCACCTCGAAGCTCAGATCCCTTTTATTCCAATCACCACGTCACTTTGGGGTCCTCACAACAGCCCTGCGAGGTACGGAGCACCCCCGTCGTACGAGCACACGAGGTCTCGCCGGACAGAGAGCAGACACCGGGCCCAGGAGAGGCCAGGGGTCCCCACGGGGAGGCCCCTCCCACCCACCACCTAGACTGTCCCTTGGCGTCCCCGGCTCAGAAGCCGGGCCGGACCCCGCAGCAGGCCCGGCGTCAGGCAGGAGGGGGCGGCGGTCGGGAGGCTTCACTTCAGCATGAGGACGCGCACGAACTCCTCGTAGCTCACCTGCCCGTCCTGGTCCACGTCAGCTTCCCGGATCATGATGTCCAACTCCTCCTGGGACACCTCCAGCTGGGCCATGGCCTGCTTGAGCTCATCCATGCTGATGTGGCCGTCGCCATCCAGGTCAAAGGCGTGGAAGGCTGTCCTCAGGTCATCCGCTCTGGCCCGGGCCTGAACCCCCTTGGCTATCACTGCCAGGAACTCCTGGGAGCTGATGACACCATCCCCGTCCGCATCGTCCCTGGCGATGAACCCCTTCAGCGCGGCCTCTGACGGGTTCAGGCCCCGCTCCTGCATCACGGCGCCCAGCTCCTGGGTGCTGATGGCACTTTGTCCTTGTCGAATCTGTGGAAGGTCTCCATGAACTCGGCTGCCTGCTCTTTGGACAGCTGCTCAGCCATGTCTCTCGCACCTTCTACAGAGCTTGCTGCCAACCCGCCCAAGGGGCTCACGTCAGAGCTGGGACAAGCGGCGGGACCGAGGCTGTGTCGGTGTGAGGACAGAGCTCCAGCGGCAGCCTTGCCACAGGATGGGAACCCCTCCTTTGCTGAAAATCCGAGCAAAGGGAGCAAGAAGACTCCCTCCCCACCCCACGTCCTAGGGTGAAATCCTCCTCCCGGGGAGGGACAGGCGAGAAATGCAGGAACTGGAGCGGCCGGTCTGCCCAGGAGAGGTGGCAGGCACCCCGGGCCTCACCTACTCCCGATGGCCAACCACGGCACCCCAGAGGCTTTTGCCCATGTGACTCTCACAGGGACCCTGGCCAAGCTGGGGAGGGGGGCTCAAGAGGGCTTTCCCAATTTTAGAGACGGGTGGGAAGGGGAGAGGAGCCTCCCTCAGTGGACATGGCAGACACTGGAGGAGTGGAAGGGCTGTGTCCAGCGTTCCTGTGCTCTCTCGGGGCTGCTGGCCAGCTCTCATCCCATGGGGCGGGGCTGGTGGAGGGCAGATGGTGGTAGAATTGAGTGGGATTCTCCCAGAATGGCACTGCGGGCGTCATCGCTCTCCAGCCCCGTGTGGCTGGCAGATCCTTAGGCGGGGATGCGGCTGCCTGCCTTTTTGCTTCGGAAAAGCGGGGAGCCAGTTGCATTCAGAGCCTGGTGCACAGGTGGTGCTGAGACTTGTTTATTAACTGAATGTTCAAAGTGTGATTTCAGAGCTGAGGAGAAGGCTTCCTGTCCCTGCAGAATACTCCTCCTCTAGCTCCCCAGTTTCTCTGATTCCATTCTATTAAGACCAGGGTTCTCTACAGAGACACCAGGAAGGAGGAGACCCTTCATTTACAATCTCAGAGGGGTCCTGCCTGGGAGCTGCGGGAAGACTGGAAAGCACTGGGCTGGAGTAGGCAGCCCCTGAAGATGCCAGGGGGTAGGAGGATGTAGAATCGGGTGGCTGAAGCTGTGAACTTGGCCTGGCTCGTGGGTTTACTGTCAGCCCCAAGCACAGAAACCCGTTTAGGAAACTCCCTGGACCCACCGTCTTACCTGTTTCATCTCTGCCCACTGCTCTGTGTAGCAGAGTTTAGATCAAGAGCTCGGGCCATGGGGACCCTGCAGGAAGAGGGGCATCCCCTTCCTGGAGGATGTTGAGTCCCCTGCAGCTGTGACAGGACGGGTGACCCCCTCCAGGGCGGCTGGGTGAGCCCTTGGGGCGGAAGAGCCTTCACGTGCAGTAGCCGTGTGTCTGTGTGAGAGTGACGTGTGTGCATGAGTGTGTGTTGGTGGGAGGTGTGCAGGCCTCCAGAGCCAGCGCGAGGGCAGGTGGCTTCAGCTTCCCAGGGCCCTGACCTGGGAATACACGCCAGCGCGTCCACTGCTGTTTGGGTTTTGTGGGTGAAATACCGAGGAACCTGCAGGACAGGTCTTGGAGGCTCCTCTGCCTCCCCCGACTTGCAGGGACCTGCCCGTCCCTCCCCCTGTGCCAGTCTCCCTGGGGACGGCCCTGCCCTGCCCTTGCCCAGGGAGATCCACCCCGGGAAGCGAGAGAGGACACCGTGTGGGAGTCGCTGTCATCCCGGGAGACTAACCCTGGTTCCGCGCCCTTCTTCAGGCCAGTAGAGATGGCGGGTGATCGGGCTGCCCTCCCAGGACCCCTGCTGGGCCCGCACCCTGAACACAGGGCTCCCACCGAGGCCACAGAGCAGGTGGTTGATCACTGCCTTTGGACCCAGGAAGCTATGGGTACGGGGCTGGCTCCCCACAAGGCTGGGGCAGGTAACTTCGCCTCCCCTGTGGTAGATGTCGGGTCCTGTTTCCCATCAGCCATCTCATGGTTCCCAAGCTCACCCACCCTTATTGTTATCCCGCGTCTGAGCACCACCGCCCTGGGTCCCTTGAGCATCTTGCTTCCAAAGCCTGTACATAAGCCACAGATACGTTTCCAGGTCTCTTCTTGGACAGATGTTTAATTATTAAAACCATCTACATATTTGCAGTGATTATCCATCACTGCAATTTTCCCAACCTCCGTGGTTCACGGTCTCACCAATCCAGACGCCCTTTACCTCTCACCCCTAACTCGAATCTCAGCCTTCTTCTTCCTCTGATGGGATTCATTCCTACACCCACCTCCTCTCGTAACTCTTTTAACTCTTTTACATTCTAAGAAGTGGCCCTGAGGCTTTTGTCTTATCTACACAGCTGGTGTGTCTCCTTTCCATCCTCCCTCATCATAAGACCCTAGGAGCCCTTTCTATGCCACCATAGCTGTGGTCTCTCTGCCACAATCCTATCCAGCCAACAAGTTTCCTAGAAACAGAATGTGTTTCTCATACTGCTTCTTTCTTTAGGGAAATTGCTGTTTCCTGCTCTGGAGTCTCGTATCAGCTTTAACTGGTCGACAGTGAGGAAGAGCTCTGTACACGATACAACACGGCCCCTGGTACTCTGCCACCCTCGGTGATGGGTTGATGAGGACCTTTTGCATCTGTGTTCAGTGATGTCAGTTGTCACCAGCTTTACCCTTTCCGTGGACATCCATCCCCGCCTGTCAACACCTCATTGCCTAACCTGGTAGAGCCACGCCTATGCCTCTGCCCCATTTATCTGGGGGAGAGGGTGACGTTCATATTCACACCTGAGCTCCTGTGTGCCAGGTGCCATGCAAAGGGCTCTAAAGGGTGATCTCATCTTGTCCTCACTGTTTATTCCTATGTTCCAGGTGAAGCAACTGAGGCTCAGAGAAGTCACAAAACAGGTTCATGGAAGAGCCGGGAATTTGCATCTGGGTTTGCCTGACTGCAGAGCCCAACCCCTTCTGTCCCGCATCACGCATCACGGCACAGCTCAGCTTCTGATAACCGACCTTCACACGCCAGCCGCTGAGGACAGCCAGGCCCTGCCCCCGCAGCCCTTGGAGCCCTGATGAGAGCTGGCAGCCAGGCTCAACCACTCCATCAACACCTGACTGCATGAACTGTGGCAAAGCACGGGCACAGCTCTGCTCAGGGACCTGGCTTTGCTCTGGCAGAAGGGCGGGGGCTGTGGATCGATGGTAAGACCACAGACGAGCCTGAAGGAGATGTGTTTCAATCCCCGCTCTCTGCCTCTCACCAAGTACCTGGCTGGGCGGCACAGCCTAGATGATGCTGGTTACCTGATTCGAGTCAGTTTTACAGTTTCAATTAGCTAACTGGGTCAGTGGCTTTGGTGCACAGGTGGTTCTCAGGACTTCTCTATGAAGCCCTTGGAAACAATTTTACCGAGAACGCCATCATTTTGCAATATCCTTTCAGCATCACCTGCTGCCGTCAGTATTCATTAGGTCTACCACTGTTCTCCTATCTTCCGGAACATTGTGTGACAAGCTGCCCTCTGATCTAGCTTGACCTCCTCTCTATCTTGAGACCCTCGTCTCTGGCTCCGCAGATTCCTTTGAACTTGAGGTTTTTCCCCTAATTTTATTCCAATTTCTTCACCCGTGTTAGTAATGGCTGTGCTTGCTGAACAGGTGGAAACAATGCAGGTGTTTTGAAGATCTCTAGCCTTTAACTCTCCTTTCATAGCTTTCTTCACTTTTTAAAAGCATGCCTGACCACTTTCTGGCATCTTGAAAAGAGAGTGGAGCTTTTTCTCCTTCCTTGGTCCTCCGTTTTATTATAATTTTAACATCCTTCTGTTCTGTCCTGGCCGGAGTTCTCCTTGTCCTGCTCTCCACGCCCTCCCCCAGATCCTGGCTTGACTCGCCTGCTTGATTCCACAGCGCGCAGGATCAGAAAAGGCAGGTGTTTGCTGTTACGTGATTCTCTCTTTTTTTCTTGTTCGTAGAGCCTGTCATTTATACTGGCCCATTTCCCTTGGAGTATATTCCAAGCTGTTATCATTTACAGTGAAAAGTGCTCTAAACCAGTTCTAAATATTGGGTTCACAGTTTTTTGTTTGTTTCCTCAAGCTACACCACTTTCCCCTGAGATACACTTGCAATTCCTTCCTCCAAGTGGACTTTATTTGTATCTAGAAGGCACAGTTTTGGAATACCCTGTTTCATTTTTAGTAAGGTGTTGGGTGGATTGGGGCACAGCCTGGGGGGCCCTTTCTCTTACTGGCCACCATGAAGAGCTCCCCCCCAACCCAGAGCACCCTCCCCTTCCCCAGCACTTCACATGTCATGCATCGTCCATGTCCTTTCTGGAATGAAAACAGTGCCCGCCCAGGGTCTTCTCTCCCGAGGCTTCCCTCCGAAAGGTTGCCTTGGCCTTCATGCCATCAGGTCTAGGGGTCAGGGGCTGCCCAGGCCCAGGGATGCTCTCCAGAGCTGACCACAGAGCAGCCAGCTTTCCCAGGTGCCAGGAGGCCCGTCTCTCCTGCATCCAGTTGGTTACAGAGACCGCACAAATGTTGGTTCTGCTAGCGCCCCACTAGCGAAAATAGCGATTCCAGCTTTTAGTCCCTTCTCTCCCAAGAACTCAGATCAGGCACGAAGCCTGTGGTCTGGGTGAGGAAATGGAGGATGGAGGGGGTATTGGAGGGTGGGGTGCCAGGTCCCCAGACAGACCCTGCACTGAGCTCACCCCTCCTGCCTCAACGTCCCCAGGCGGGCACATGGAGGGCTTTCTGTTGGTGGCTCTCAGAGTCAGGACTGGACCTTGGTTCTCCCTGGGATGCTGGGACCACACAGTTGATGACACAGCGTCATAAGCCCTCTCGCCCCATCCTCCCCATCACACAGGCCACGAGTGGTACCAAGCCCCCACCCCACCCCCACCTTCACCCAATTCCAGTCGGTCACTCGTCCCGGGAGACCTGAGTTCTATCCCAGCACAGCCGTGTGACCTTGGTCAGAGCCTTTGTCATCCATTCAACAGATGTGCCGGAGCTAAGCTAGACCTCGAGAGCCTGCAGTGACCAGACACTCTCCCTTCCTCCAGGGAGACCGGGGCTGCAGAGAGATTCCCTCTGCCGCTGCAAATGCCCTCAGGTCCATTCCCCAAGGACAGCACCAAGAGGACCTGCCTTGGGCCAGGAGATCCTGGGCAGCACCAAGAGGACCTGCCTTGGAGCCAGGAGATCCTACTGCGAGGCCCATTTTTGTCCCTCACTAAGCAGTAGTACAGACCTGGGTAACTGCTCACACTTGATGGGTTACAGTGTCTGGAAAATGAGGGTGTTGCACTGGATGGTAGCTCTCAGAATTTCATTAGCAGTTGAGCCACGTTGCAAATGAAATCTTACTCGTATGACAGATAATCGTTAACATTCATTGGGCTCTTACTGTTCCAGCTACCCTCCTGAACCTTCCATGCATTGACGCACAGTGCCCTGGGCCACGCTGCGCCCAGTTTACAGGTGAGAACCATGAACCAGAGAGCTGCAATTTGCCCAACACAGATGACGCAGTTAAAAGCAGACTTTCCTGCTTGGCGGTGGGGAAAGGAAGGAAATCGAGTTGCTCCGCTTCACCTTCTCCTGCTTCCTTGGTGTCTCTGGAAGGACCTCTGCAGAGTCCAAGGGTCTCCGAGACCAAGTTCAAGTCCACTGGATGAATGACCTCAAAGGGAGCTGGAACTGTGATTTTCCAAGCCACTTTGCTCCTTCTGATGGCTTGTCCAGGTGCCCAGCTCACGCCCCAAGCCTCCTGCTTCCTCCCCACCTCACGGGCTCACCATTAGGTACACGCATTCACACATGAAGGCTTGAGCCTCGTGCATGTCCTCGCGCACGCGGGCGCACGCACACGCATCTTCCTGTATTAAACACAAAGGTTTTCATCACCACCGTAAACTTCAAAGGCTTGGAACTTGGAACCAACACCTTTCCAGCCTCTTAGTGAGTCCCAGACCCCTCGGGGGAGAGCAGCTTGTTCTCCTCAATGTAATTAGCACCACCGCCACCCAGCCCCCCCATCCCCTGGCGATGGGGACTTAGAGGAACAGACGGGCCTCCTAAACCACTTACCAAGTGCGTCTTGATATCAAAAGATTTGTAGCACGGAGTTCTAGCGCCTCCGCAATATCAGTTCCTGTAATCGTTTCGGTTTGTCAATTTTTTTCAAAACATCAGATACAAGTTTGAAAGGCGGGCGGGTCATACACGTGAGCCCTGGCCCCTCCAGCCTGCTCTCCTCTGGCCTCTGCCCCAAGGCCAGCCCGGAACCCCTTCCCCTGCCCACGGACAGGGCAGGCAGTGAGTGACTGCAGGACGAGCTACTTGGGAAAGATTACTGAGCCCTCAGGAATCACAAAACATCGTCCTTTTCCCAGGAAAGCAGACTTTGACTTGTTCGGCTACTTTTATTGTGAGATTTAGCACCGATGTGCTTTGGTTTTGGGTGATGGTTTAATGCTGAATTAAAGTGGCTCTCAGTTAAACACAGGCCACTTTATGTCCCTGTGTCGCCTTGGGCATGAAAGCACGATGAGGCCCCCAGAGACTGAGGGTGCAGGTGGAAGGATTAAAGGCAGGTGGGGCCCCGGGGTGTACCCTGGAGGCTGACTTGAAGACCAGACGCCTGGAGAAAGCAGCAGGACCTGCCAGGAGGACCCGCCAACCCAGGAAGACCCAGGAAACGCTCAGAACAATCCAGGCCTTTGGCTGCCTCCGCACTCGGCGGACTTCATTCCGCAGGTGAGGCCTCGAATCATAAACGCGAACCACCCGGCAGCGTGTGATCCCTGAGTAGGAGGCACAAGGCCGTGCCTGTGTCCTGGAAGATGACGTACCTGGTTATTTGTCAGACTTCAGTTCAACGATGCACAGCTCCGATCCCAGATCAGTGGTCTCCTCCCTGAACTGAAACTGCAGCCCAGCCCGGGACAGGCCTGGAGGAATCTTGATGATTCACACAAGACCAAGACTGAGCAAACGTCATTCTCAGAGCTGGCTCAGGCTCTGAGGCTGGAACGGCCTTCGGTGGGAGGTGAGAACGGGCCAGGACCCCTGGTTCCCACACAAGGAGCCCCCCCATCCCCCCAGCTGAGAAGACCCTCTCCTGGCAACGAGTGTGACTAAGAAAGTATTGCTTTTCCCGTGGTCAGTGGAAGTCGGAAAGTAGAGCAAAGCGTCGCCATCCCCTCCCGGCCTTGAAAAGTAAGAAGCAGTAGAGGAGCTGGTCAAGAATACGTGCGCAGTACAGAGGCCACCGCTGTCCCCAGGTGAGCCTGAACTCCACTGTCGGTGTCTCATCATTTCTGTTTGTTTTTGTCAGTCTTGTTGCTTCTTAGACTGAACTGCAAACATCCCAGAACAGCAATGCAAGCTGCATGCCCCCCGCAAACCCAGGCGTGTCTCATCATTTCTGGGAGATTTAGGGATGGAAAGTCAGAGGTAGGAACTTTAGCTGCTGAGACCAAACACCCCAAAGACAGCCTGAGACGAGGGATAGCCCTGCATTCACCCTGGGAAGAGTAGGTTGGAATCGGGGAGACCCCAAGGAGCTATTGGGAGTTTCCAGATTGTCCCTAAAGCCACAGGGGAGAAGATGGAGGCCCTACCCCAGGTCCTTGGGCCACGCTCCGCTTCCCAGGACCCTCTCCCACCTCCATCCTGAGCCCTTCCTCCACCTGGTCCCTCTAGATTCATGCCAGTCGGACATTCGGCTTTGAGGGGAGAAGTCCGCTCTCCGCTGGATCTGCCAGGCCTCATCACCCTGACTGTGCTCGGGCCTCTCTAAGGAGCCGGGCCAGCAGCATCCCATAATAAAGAGCAAGTCGGACAAAAGTGCCAGGTAGCAGACGGCTTGCAGGGAGTTGGGAGGTAAGTCCATCCTCCTGAGGCCCAGACATGCACGACTGTGTGCATGGGGGCGGGGTGCACCTTTCTAGCATCACTGCAGGGCTGTGAAACTGGGGAGAAGCCACAGGTGGAGGTACAGAGGGTAAAGCATCAGCAGCTGCTCCCAGGGGTCAACACAGAGGTCACCCATCCCCACAGAGCCACTCGGCAAACCTGCAAACAGTAAGGGGAGATGACAGACCACACAGTGGATAAAGTGGGCACCTGGGCAAGAGCATCTGAGGCACCCCATGGGGTTTGAACCACAGGGAAGGGCTTGAAGAGAGACACGGGTCCAATCCTCCTGCAGGTGGAGGCAAGGCGGACCCTCCTGTACTCTGTTCATTCAGCAAATATTTCCTGGGCGCGGGGGCCATCCTACCGCAGAGGGCTTGGCAGGGGAAGAAATCAGAAGCAGCCTTGCCTCTTGTGAAAATTACATGGGAAGAAACAGAAAGGAAGCAGGTCCACAGGCAAGATCAATGTAGAAGTAAAAGTTATGAAGAAAATAAAGGAGAAGAATAAGACAGGAGAGGGATGAGGTGGAGGAGGGTGGTTAATTAGAAGTGGGCGGTTGGGGAAGGCTTGGCAATGAAGCGATATTTGACTTTTGACTAAAGTGACAAGAGAGAGCGGCCGCTTGAATGTCGGGGACAGAGTGTCCAGGCAGATGGAGCAGCTCGTGCAAAGATACCAAGGTGGAAATCAGGATGGGAGTGTTCAAGGAGCAGAAAGTAGGCCAGTGTGCTTGGAGCAGAGTGTTGTGGTGATGTGGTCAAGAGGGCCACCGTAGGGAGTTTGGATTCTACTGAAACCCAAAGAAAGCCCATTATAGCGTTTCAGCAGAAAATGACATCACTGAAGAATACCACAAAAGGGGAGACCCATTACGAGTCTGGGGCCGTGGTCCTGCCTGGAGATGATGCGGCCTGGCGCAGAGGATGTGTTGAGGTGAAGCTGAAAGATGGGGTATGAGGTGTGAGAGAAAGGGAGGAATTAGATGTGGCTCTGGGTTTGGTTCTGAACAACCGGACGGGTTTTTTTTAAGAGATGGGGAGATTGAGGGGAAGCAGGTTCAGATGAGGACCAACGGCTCCACTTCGTCATGGTAACTTTGAGGGTCTCTCCAAACATCAAATGCAGGGGCTCAGTTGGCAGGTGGATCCCCAAGGAGCTTGGCAGGAGGGCTCTGCACCAGCAGGTGTGTCCCAACATTTCCCATAATGGAGGATACCTACTGCGTGTGAGTCCCCCGCCTCCCGAGTGGGTTTTCCAGGTGCCGAGTGAGAAGGTCTAAGACTGAGTTGGGGAGAACCGCGAAGAAAACAGCCACAGGCGGGGAGCGGTAGGAATTGGAAGGTCTAGGTCCTGAGTTTTCAGCCTGCTGGTCATCTGACCTTCATGCATTTGCTAGTTCTCACATCCTTCATCTGTAACGTGGAGACATGAGACAATAGGAATGAAAGTGCCTGATACACGCTTGCTACAGAGTAACTGCCCAATGAACAGGCAGTTGACCCATAAATATTCCACTGGGAAGGTGTACTATGCTGAGTGTTTGTGCCCCCGCCAAATTCATATGTGGAAATCCTAACCCCCAGGTGATGGTATTAGTTGGCAGGGCTTTTGGGAGGTGATGAGTTCCGGAGGGAGGATCCTCCATCAGTGGGATTAGCGACCTTAAAGAGAGTCCAGAGAGAGCCCAGGTCCTTTCCATCCAGTGATGGAGGACACAAGAAGTCTGCAACCTGGAAGAGGGCCCTCCCCCTGCCAGGCCTCCCCGGGCCTCAGACTTCCTGACTCCAGGACTGTGAGCAATAAGTTTCTGCTGTTAACAAGCCCCCCAGGGGGTGGCTTGTTGTTATAGCAACATGATAACACTAAGACAAGGTGTTTGCATTTTGCTGGGGGGAAAGGAAGTAGATAAGTAAATGTTAGGGCTGGTGAGTGGCTGTATGGAAATGGGGGGGTGGGAGAAAAAGAGGGAGAGAGAGAAGGAGAGAGAGAGGCCCGTGGCCACACCCATTCTAGGAGGGCACAGGAATGGAGCTGGTTGAAAAGACTAAGCATCCCAATCTATATCTTTCTCTATAGCGCCCAGCAGGAGAGGCACAAATTCTGTTTAACAGAAGCTACAGTAGCACCATTTCGGGGGGAAGGCAACACCTTGGGTCATCTGCTCTTCTAAGGAATAGCTGCAGCAGGCCCTCCCCTGTTGTGGGTCTGTTGAGGTCCTTATTAACACTATACTCTGTGAGGCCAACCCCGCTGTTCCCACCAGGATCCCAGCATCCTCGGTGCCTCTCACCTCCAGCCCAGGCAATTCTACACCGGGTTCACTCCTGACTCTCAACTCTACCACTGTGGTCCTCCAAGTGTGTTCCACGGATCCATTTGAGGGGAGGGTGTCCCCAATACCCTTTCAGGAAGCCTGGGTGGTCACAACTATTCTCGTAATACCAGACACGGTTTGCCACTTTCACCGTGTCAGCTTTTTGCACTGAGCTCAGAGCACTGGTGGGTGAAATCACCAGCCCCTTAGCAAGAATCAAGGCTCCTGTACCAGCAGTCATTATAGCCTTCACCACCACATGGTCTCAAGTTTTTAAAAAGCCAGCTTCATTTAAGAACGTTCTTGTAGAAGTAGTAAAATTATTATTTCAACCCTTGCACGCACATCCTTAATACTCTGCTGCGTAGTCTAGTATGATTTGTTGTAAGAAAAGCACTTGTGTGCATACGTAAGTCACAAGGTAAGCTTTTTTCATGGAACACCAGTTTTTGGGAAAAAACAGCTGATAGACAAACTGTGGTTACTCAGACTTGGTATTTGGCATTTTCTCAAAAAGCGATGAAGTGAGCCTAGCACTTCAAGGAAAATAACTGAGTATTTGTTGCAAGAATAAAATTTCAGCATCCAAATGAAAATTAGAACTTTCTAGATTTTGTATTTGCCACTGTGAGCTTGAGACTTCCCAATACTTAAAGATTTTTCTAATGAGATTGGTGGTAATATTAATGAATGTGATTTTTTAAAATTATACATGCAATGATTCAACATGCAGAAGATCTGCAGAACTCAGGATTTTCCAAATGACCAATGCATAGCATCACAGAATCATGCATGAGTAAAAGATCCATTCAAAGCACAGGAGTGAGCGATGGATTTTAATGGAACAGGATGAAAAGTTCGTTGGCATGGTTTCAGAGTTCACACTACAACCAACCTTTAAGAAGCTACCGCCTGTCAAATTTTGATATGGTACCGACGAAGAATAACCACAGTTACCTGAAATGGTCATTAAATGCTCTCTCCTTTGCCAGCTGTGCATAGCTGTGTGAAGCTGGATTATCATGCACTTCACATCAAAACATCTTCCCACAGATCAAGTGCGGAAGCAGACATGCTTTCATAAATCCGGGCATTAAAGAGATTTGCAAAATTATGTTTTTAGGTACCACTCTTATTTTTTATACAGTGTAATTAATTTTTTTATAAAACTACGTTATTTGTATTGACGTGTAATGGGTTTTTTATTTGTTTTTTAAAAGTTATAAATACATAAAAATATATTTAAATATTTTAAAATTTTATTAGTTTTAATTTCAAACCCAGTAAATATTGACAGACATTTTAAAAAGCTCTTTAGAGTCCCCAGTAATTTTGAAATGTTTAAATGGGTCCTAAGACCACAAGTATATGCTGGAGGGAAAGGAGTCAGTGCACTGAGAGGCCGCAGGGGGAGAATACAGAAGCCTAGCAAATTAAAAACATTCCCTCTGTCATAGTTTCCTAACCAGCGAGTTGCAACAATTTAGTTGTCACAGCCCTGTGCCTTGTGAGTCATGAGCAGCTCTGTTTAAAACCCTTACTGAGCTCCCTTTCAACGTGTCTTTTTGAAGAACACAGGCCATGACCCAGAAACCTGCAGATACCTGTTGTCCACTTACCCTTCGTAGGTGAGGCAGGATGCAGTCCATCAGCGGGACAGTGTCAGGCACAAGTTTCATCGTGATGCTGGCCCTTGGTTCCCCAGGGCGCTGTCAGCTACACGCCGTTGTCCAGTGGTTCTCCTGCTCCTGCCCTTGCAGCATTTCATGAATACGTCCCCCCAGCATACGAATTTGAGGGGAGACACATTAGGACTAAAGCATTCAGTTTGTCATTTCTTTCTTTCACAGATCATCATCTAAACCCAACCCAAACTCAAACTACAGACCATTTGTTGAAGAGACTGTCTTTGCTCCATTGTCGAAGCTCAGGTGACTCTCTTGATAGGGGTCCCTCTCTAGGTTCCCTATTCTGTTACACTGATCTACTTGTCTGCTCTCCAGCCAGCACCACACTGCCTGGATCACTGCAGCTCGACAGTAAGTTTCGAAGTCGGGCAGCATCCGGCCTCGTTCCTCTCCTTCCGTCCTTCGCTGGCTCCTCTGGGTCTCACCACTTTGGATCTGCATGGATTCCCACAGGCAAAGCCACCTCTTCTCACTCCGTGGCTGGTCCTTCCCCGGGCTTCCTGGGAGTCGAGCTCCGAGCGTGTGTGCCTGGTGGGCATCCCACTTCACCTTCTCGAGAACCTCCTCTTAAAAACACCCCTTTCTTCAGCTCTGTCCATTCCCATTCCCGAAACCAGAAGCTCAGACTTTCAGCCATGGCCTTGCTAAAATGTGCAGGGGTTCCCATGCATTGGAGGATAAACGTGAATTCCTCTCGCCTCTGACAAATCTCGCTTGTCTTCCTTTCTTCATCTCCCGCTTTCTCCCCTTCACCCTGGGCTGCAGCTGCACCAGCCTCTTTTCTGTCCCTTGGCCACACCGAGCCTCTCCCACCTTTGGACCTGGAACCTGTTGGCCTCCGCCTGGAAGGCCCCTTCTCCCCCTCAGGTCACCCTTGTGTGCCACCTCTGCAGAGAAGACTTCCGCAACCATTGCTGCAGAAGTAACCTCCCCACCTGCTGTCCATCACCACCCTTTATTTCCTTGATAGCATTTATTGAAAGTATCTCATTATCTTGCTTGTTTCTGTTAGTTTCCTCGCTAACTAGCTGTGTTGTGGTTGGAATACATATGAGCCTCTGGAGGATCTGGGGACAGCCTGCTTCTATCTAAAGAAAAAATATTTTTCTTTTCTCCTCCTCTGAAAACCCTCTTGGGAACCCTAAGGTTTTCAGACTTCGGAAACCAAAGAAAAGGAAAGGGAGTTCTTTTCAGGCAAAGACAACCTCTGTTCTTCCTCCTGCCAAAACCCTCAGCTGCAGGCAGTGAAGAGCTCAGAGCCAGTGGTTTCACTGAGTGGAGGGTGTGAAGACTGGGGGGGGGGGGGCGGGGGGATTCCGGTAGGCAAACCCAGAACTCATCTCTCTAGAGGCTGTCTACCAGCCTCTCTGGAGGTGTCCCCACTGGTCCCGGGGACTCTGGGCGGTGGGGAGGAGAGCCCAGCCTTTCCCAGAGCTGCTGGCGTCAGTGCAACTAGCCGGCCGGCCCACTGCCTGGGCCTGGACTCCTGTTCCAACAGGACCTGGACTTCAGGCAACCGCAGGGCCGGGCGCGTGCATGGTGAGAGGCATCCCAGCTCCTTCTTCAGCGCCAGCAAGTCAAGCCGGGGCCAGAACACCAGCCGCCGGCCCTGCACCCGGCCACCTCCCGGCGCCCGGCCACGTCCGTGTGCAGGACCTCCTCCCCGCAACGGTCAGGGCCAAGCAGCTGACCGAGGAGCAGGTGGCCGAGTTCAAGGAGGCCCTCTCCCCTTTTGATGAGGACGGAGACGGCGCCATCAGCACGCGGGAGCTGGGCACCGTCCTGCGGTCGCCGGGCCAGAAACCCACTGAGGCCGAGCTCCAGGACCTGGTGGGCGAGCTGGACCGCGACGGCAGCAGCACCGTGGGCTTCCCCGAGCTCCTGGGCCTAATGGCCCGTAAGGTGAAGGGCAGGGACGCCAAGGACCAGATCCGGGAGGCCTTCTGCGTCTTCGACAAGGACGGCAACGGCCTGATGGGCACGGCCGAGCTGCGGCACGTGATGACCCGGCTGGGCGAGAAGCCGAGAGACCAGGAAGTGGACGAGATGATCCGGGCGGCGGACGTGGACGGGGACGAGCCGCTGCGCTACGAGGTGTTCGTGCGCTTGCTGGTTTCCAAGGGCGGCCACAGACCCACCTCCACCCCCACCCCCATCCCCACCCAGGGTGTCCGGGCTCTGCACGTGGCGCCGGAGGACCTGCCTCCGTTCCCCCGGCCCCTCCGGGCACTGCTCCTCCGCTGGTTGACCTGATCCAGCTGTCTGTCCCCCTTTCCTCTCCTCTCCTCGTTCCTGCCTACCTCCCCACCTTCTCCTTGCAGGATGACACAGGCCGCTCCCAAGCCCAGCAAATCCCAAATGTTCCATCCCTCGGGAGCAGAAGTTCAGGGACGTCCCTTTGCACCGACCAGGGCAGGAGGATGGTCACAGCCTCACTGGCCGCTCATGCCCCAGGGAGGGCGCGGTGTGCCCTCCGGGAGCCCTCCGCGTGGGATCCCTAAAGCGCACCCGGTACCTCCATCCGCTGTGGACCAGGGCCCTGGGGCGAGGGGCACTCTTGGAGGCTGACAACCAGGGTCTGGCCTCCTGAGAAACACCACCTCCTTTCCCCGCCCCCGACTCCCCTGCGCTCTTGTGTTCTCTTCTGTCTCTGTGCCAAACCGCTGTGAGGTGATTCGTCTCTTAAAGCTGGGAGTCAGTTGTAACACGTTTGTATTCACCTTCTTGGAGGGAAATTTGAAAGGGAGAAAGAGGCCACAGGGGAGTAAAGAAAACGTCTGTTTTTCTCTGGTTCCAGTGGAAATGATCCTTGTTAAGTTCAGGGTTTAAAAGAGGCAGGAATCTCTCTTTTTGTGCTTTTTGGAAGTGCGGTGAAATCTTGTATTGATGGGCGTAGCGAACAGAGAGGAGTCTAGGCAAGGTAAATCTTGAATATTTATTTCAAATAAAATGGAGAAGTTGGCAGCAAAGGGTGGTTAAAAATCCATGTAGAGCTTCTAAGATCTGAGTCGATTATGGTGGGGAAGGAACAGTGGTCTGTGTTCATGGATTTCTTACATTCATGATCGAGTTGTTGGGAAGTGCGGTTTGAAGAAAGTCAGGGCTGGAGAGGGCCCGTGTGGTGCAAAAGTAAGAGACAGTGCTTCCCGCGTTAAACCCTGGCTCCCAGAGGTGGCATCAGATAACCCCAAGGCCGAAGGGGCTTGTCAGAGATTATTTCAGTGTTTTCGTGGGGTGGACACTACACCTGGGGTCATCAGAGAGGGCTACCAGCCCTGGGACAGTCACAGAGCAGCTGGCCCATCTTGACAAGTCCTCTTTCCTGACACCCTCCCCACCATGCACGTTTCCTCATATGTAAAAGGAAGAGCATGGGCTCTGGGGCCGGACAGACTGGGAATGTAGTTATTGCTGCCCTGCCGACTGGGCCCAAATCACTCGTCCTCCCCGTGGTGACAGCTGACACTCTGGCGGCCCTTCCTGGGCGCCGGGCCCTGCTGTGAGCACACTGCCTGTGCAGTGACTCACTACCACCCTACAGGGGGCCACCCTCTGCAGCTTCCCCGTCTACAGATGAGGAAGCCGAGACACCGAGAGCTTAAGAAAGCAGCCCGTCCCACAGCTGGTAAGGGGCAGAGCTGGAGTTGGATGCAGGTCTGTGCCCCTGATCTCACTCACAGCCTCCCTAGAGCTCCATGGCCTCCACCGTGACCCGATGATGAGAATCGCGCCTCCTCCAGCACTTGTGAGGATCAGAAATCATCTTAACATGCCTGGTATGCAGTAGGTGCTTAATAAATGACAGCTACCATTGCTATCATCCTTCCAGCACCAACACTCTGTATTTCCACCCGTCGGAACAGTCCAAGGGAAAAGCTGGGGTCTGGTTTGGGAACTGGCCCCGGCGGGGCAGCTGCAGAGCCCCCTTTGTGCAGGAAAAGAAACCAGTGCTCTGACCGTGGGGCCTTGCAGGCTCGGCCTCTTTGGGCTCATCCTTCCATAGCCTCAACAGTCGGGGGTGGCTGAACTCCTGCAGGTGCAGGCTTGGGAGCAAGCCCGTAAGAGTGGACGGAACGTCTAGGTGCCATGGATGTGGCTGCCCCGGTGCCATGAGCAGAGAGCCAAGCCCGTTGTCATCTCAGAGGCTCAGATGTGCATCATGGTCCCATCTGCCAAAAGAAGCACTGACGTCATCCCCAGGGACCTTGTGTCTTTCATGGAACGTGTGCTCAGAGGTAAGGAAGGGGAGGTTCCAGGTCTCCCTGCACAGTGTCCACGGGTCTACAGTTGCCAGTGTGGGCCTGGCTGGGGAGCTGGCATTCAATCCCCTCTGTCCTGGTGGGTGCCCTGAAGTATGGGGACCTGTGTGCCTGCCAGCACTTAAGCTGGAAGGGGTGAGGTGTCTTTCTGCATCTCTGTCCGGCCTCCTGGCATCACACCGGAACCACCCTGCCTGCATTTAACTGGCTTTAGAACCTGTCATGAGAACCCCTGGGGCCAGGGCAGGAACGCAGCTGGTTTTGGAAAGACCTCCTGTCCCTCCCGTGGGTGTGCCGGTGACACCCAGAAACCAGGCTGCGGATGAGGGGTCTGAACAGACTGGAACCAAGATGACAGTTTCTCCCTCGTCCCCAGAGACAGCAGAGCCCCTCAGACCACCGCCTGCTGTTTCCAGTTTCCAGCTTGGCTCTCGTGACCCGGAGCACTGGGGGGAGTGCATCCCATGGGGGACCGGCACACACAGGTTAGTGATACACGGGCCTCCCTTCTGCGTGCAGATGGGAATCAGGCATCAAGGCTGAGGGGACCACAGAGCTGAATGTGCCCCCCTGGGTTTTACTTTCCTGACACAATTTTTTTTAATGTTTTCTGTTGTCCTTTCTCATTCAAGCAAGGCCATCAGCCAGCTCTGCCACGTGGCTGGACGCTCTCCCAAACTGCTAGGTTAGGGACAGGGATGCCAGCCAAGGGGCACACAGAGGGTGGCGCTCTCTGAATCTGGGGGTCCCCTGCCTTGGTCGGTGTGTCCAAACTGCAGTGGGTGCAAGTCCTTCACGATTGCTGACAGCCAGGCGAACCCTTCACAGTGCCCACCTCCATGCCGGGCACCGGCCACTCCCACTCCGGGTGTCCCGTCACACCTGGGCCTCGGCCAGGGACTCGGGCTCCTGGGCCACACCCGCGTCTGTCTTCAGCCTCCTCTCCACCCGCCACACTCCATCTTCTTTTCCTTCTCCCTCCCCACAGTGCCAGGACTTGTGCTGTCCCCAGACACCTAGATAGACGTTTTGTTGGTAAAGTGCGGTCACTGCAATTGCCAGGTGTAGGTCCTTGGCCTCGTTGAGTAGGACGGGGCAGGGGGGAGGGAGGAGGTTGGGAGTGGGGCCCTGAGGACCTGAGCGAGGAGTCCAGGCCTGCAGAGCAGCCCGCGTTTCCGGAACAGACTTGGAGCAGCCCCTCCATGCTCAAGTTCCCTTTTCCTTTCAGTCCACGAATAACTGGACTTAACCTCCCTTCATCCCCCAAAAAGGTGCTTTCTGACTGCAGCTCAGAACATTCCATCCATCCTTGGGGAAGGAATTTATAAATATTACCTCGGCTTCCATGTGCTTTCGGCAGGCCTGTCATAAATCAGTGCAGGGCTCCTGGACCTCCCAGGCTATATAAAGCCACTCTTCTGCCTCCTGTTTCCAATTTTAAATCAAATACAGCTCAGCCCCGCAGGCTCCTGCGGATTCCAGGGGCCGCTCAAAGTCTCCCCAAACCAGCCTGCTAAAAATGACTCCGTTGTTCCCCTGGAGAAATTTAAAATTAAAACTCACGTGTGGGGTGGAGACTGCCCACGATGAATATGAATGAGGAATACAAGATGTGTTTCTCCACCAAAAAACAAAGCAAAAAAAACCTGTCTCTGAAAAAGGTCTGGGCCCTACTCACCTGCCAACCTCCCCACCATCCTGCCTTTTGGGTGGTTGTTTCTATAGCAACCAGGTTCTCAGGTGCCTGGACACCCCGTCCCCCGACCCAGAGGGGAAGCAACCGGTTAAAGGCCTCCCCTAGCCCTCTGATCAGGTGCCAGGGGCTGGGGGGCTGGGGCACCTTCCGCCAAGCGTGGGGAACGGAAACGTCTTGGGGCTAGTCCTGGGAGACGCGCTTGAATTGACCTAGAAAGGATGGCGGGTTTCCATGCCCGGGGAGACAGTACCTGTGGAGACAGTCAGTGAAGGAATCTCACACTGTCCCCTAAGCACCTCCTCCACTCTTCCCACCTTTCTAATGGCCTCAGAATCTCCAGGGAGGGGAAGGAGCCAGGCCCTTGGTACAGAAGGAGGGGTGGCATCTGGAGTCTAGCGTCAGGTGGGCCCAGGATGTCCTGGCTGGTCACCTGGTGCTGCCCTGCAGGCTTGGGATAGCTGAGCATTGGTGGAGGGACCCCACCCTCCCCCACCCTCCCCCACCCGCCATGGGGAAATGGACCTCGTGCGACACTGCCAGCCCATGGGTAAAGCTCATCTCCCTGGACACCGAGCTGGCCCATCTCTCATCCATCACGTGCCCTGCAGGCTGGTTTGGAGGGCTCCCAGGATAGATGTTCAGGTCTCACTGAAGGCAGGCTTCCATGCCGAGACCGGACGGTGTGAACTGCTCACCAGGCATTGCATTTTCAGCTCCTTAAATCCTCAAAACAAGCAAGTGTGGCAGCTGCTTTAATGAGCCCATTTTAGAGAAGATTGAGGCCTCAAGAGTCTAAATAGGTTCCCCCAAATCACACATCTAGTAAATCAGAGTTTGAACCTGGGTCTGACCAGCTCCAGAGCCAGCATCCTTCCCACCATCACAGAGAAGCTTCTCGGATCAAGCAGCCTGAGACTGACGGCAGCCTGAGCTTGCAGAAGTCTTGAGGCTCCAGCAGAGCTGCAAAAGGCACGTCAATGGGAAAAGCCTGCAAGTGGGAACAGCTGCTGGGCAGGGTGTGGGCAGCCAGGACGCAGAGAGAAGACAGACATCAGCTGGTGTTGAGGGAGCCATGAGAGCCGCTGTGCCAGCGCCTGGATGGCTGCAGAGGGAGTGTTGTGAAGCCTCCCACAGCCCTGGGCCCTGCATGGGGTCCTCACCGCGTGGCCCCCCACCCTTGCCCAGGCACTGGAGGGCAATGCAGTGTGGGGCACCTGCTGCCCCGAGGAACTGGAGGAGGCCGCCATCACCAGGAGAGAGTTCTGCCCTGGCCCACGTCTTTGTGACAGTAGGTGCCAATCAGTTCGCAGTGCTGAGCAGGCATCCCTCTGGCCAAAGCTGGGCCCGCCCAGGCCTTTGTCACTGGAGAGAGGAGCTCGGTAATGTCTGGGCCTCCAAGCTTCTGTTGGAGAATGCTGCCTTCCCCCAGACTCACATCGTGGGGTGATGGGCAATCATAAGAGACTCATGTCCTCGTGGGTTGAATTATGTCCCCCAAAATTCACATATTGGGGTCTTGACCCCCAGAACCTCAGGGTGTGACCTTATTTGGGGATAGAGTCATTATGGAGGCAGTTAAGTTAGAGTGAGGCCATTAGGTTGGGTCCCAACACTGACGTCCTTCTAAGAAGGGGAAATTTGTGGAGGGTTTTTTCAGTTTTTATTTATTTCATTATTATTATTTTTTGACCATGCCACATGGCTTGTGGGATCTCAGTTCCCTGACCAGGGACTGAACCCGGGCCAGGGCAGCGAGAGTGCAGAGTCCTAACCACTGGACTGCCAGGGAATTCCCAAGATGGGTAAATTTGGACACAGTTGGACGATCACGAGAGGACACCAGGAGAAGACAGCCGTCTACGTACCCAGGAGAGCAGCCTCAGGAGGAACCAGCCCTGCTGACTCCTTGATGTTGGACCTCCAGCCTCCAGGACTGGGAGAGAATAATTTCTGTTGTTTAAGCCCCACAATTTGTGGCTCTTGGTTACAGCTGCCCAACAAGTGCACAATACTCCCTGTATGAGGCGGGGTTAGGGGTATCACAGATTCTTGTCTTAGTCTGAGTCCCAGAACTGGTTTTCTCCTGGTCCAGCTCTGATTTCATGAGTCATACACACTAGACTCTGAGAGAATCCAAGGAGAAAAGAGATCTTGCCACATGGAAAAACACCTTCTGATGCACTCTGTTGCCGCTTCCCAGACTCTGGTACTGCAGACTCACCTCTCCCAATCTCAGCACCTCTGAGAAGTAAAACAGTCACTGGAGTCGGCGTGACAATGCACAGTGCTTCAGAACCTGAGGGTGCGTTCTCTCCATCCCCCTGACTGAATGCAACGTGACGTTCTTACCAGGGAGCCTGAGGTAGGGATAAAATTTTAGACTTGAAGAATCTTGGGTCTGTACACCGCCTTAGGAGTTATCTGGCCTGATTTCCCACCCAGGATGAAAGGCCTAAATATGACAGCGCCCCAGAGAGACGGCTGGTTTGCATCTCCTTGAAAGTGTCCATTAGAGAGTTCAAGGTCAATTGGCCAACAGTTGGATAATTCTTATCCTTAGAAAGTGTTTCTTTATGTGGGTCTGAAATGTGTCTTTCTTCCTTCTACCTACATCCTGGGTAGATTCCACAGCCCCAGAAAATATGACGAACGCCTTCTCTCTGTCAGTTCTTCAAACAGCTATAGAGACCATCAGGTCCTGCCCTACACTCTCTCCTCTGCAAAGTAGCTCTAATTCCCTCCAGAGTTTCTTATGTGACACACGTTCAGGCCGCCTCACCTCTTGACATGCTTAAGCGTTTCAAAGTCTCTCTTGTCGATGTGTCACTGAGCCCTAGCCAGGTGTGACCAATGCCAGTGGCGGTGGGGCCACATCTCCCTGTGCTGAATACGGCACCTCTAAGAATGAAGCTCGTGGTCAAACCAGACTTGCGCGCAAGTGATATGCTGCTCATCTGACAAATATTGTTGTGCGTGTGTGTACGTGCTGGACTTCAAGGGACACAAAGATGATTAAGACTCAGGACCTCACCACAAATGGAGGGAAGATCAGTAAAGAGGTGGTTACAAGACAGTGCCGGGGGGTGGAGGAGAAAGTGGATGTGTGGAGGAGGAAATGCCTCGGCTGTCCAGCCAGTGGAGGGGCAGGGGAGGGCAGGGAAGGACTACACACAGGTGACTCACCAGCTGAGTCCTGATAGCAGCCAGGCAGTGTGATGGGGTGGGGGGGTAAGCAGGCCTGGATTTGCTCTTCCCAGGCTGAGTGTACAGCATGGGAGAAGGCACAGAGGCACAAAGGAGCGATCACCTCCTGTCCTTCCTTCTAATCCTGTTCAATCCTCCAGGAAGGCTGACTTTCCAATCCCTCCAGGTTGGGTCAGATCCCTTCGCTCTGTCCTCTGTGACACTTGCTGCAGACCTGTGACCTCTGCACTTACCTTGTGATATTGTCATGATCTGTGATTTCCCCATGGAGCTGTCACCTCTTTGAGTTCATCAACTTCATCTCCGAATGCCTCGCAGAGAACTGGCAGAGGGTCATTGTTCAAAGCAAGTGCGTGGATGGATGGATGGATGGATGGAAGGAAGGATAGATGGATGGATAGATGCAAGGATGGAAGGATGGATGGAAGGATGGATGGATGGATGCAAGGATGGATGGATGGATGCAAGGATGGATGCAAGGATGGATGGATGGATAGATGGATGGATGGGTGGGTGGAAGGATGGATGGATGGGTGGATGGGTGGAAGGATGGATGGATGGATGGGTGGAAGGATGGATGGATGGGTGGATGGGTGGAAGGATGGATGGATGGAAGGATGGATGGATGGAAGGATGGATGCAAGGGTGGATGGATGGATGGATGGATGCAAGGTTGGATGGAAGGAAGGAAGGATGGATGAATGGATGGATGGATGGATGGGGACACCAAGTGTGTCCCAACCAGAGACACTGGAGCTCATTGTGGGGAGGCAGGATGGTGAGGCGATGAAGACCTGCCCACCCTTCTCAGAGGTCTGGTCTTCACACCGCAGGCAGTGGGGAGGCAAGGGTTACTTTTACGCAGGGGATTGATTTGGGGGAGAAAACATGCTGGCGGCCATTCGAAGATGAAGATTAGAGGTGCAGTAAACAGAAGCAAGTCATGAAACCTGGGTGACAGCCCAAGCGAGAGAGGACAGGGTGTGACACAAGGCAGTGGCCACAGGGAGTGAATGACAGAAAGAGGGAAATGGGTTAAGAAGATAACTAGACAGAGCTTGGTGGGATTCAGGAAAGGAAGAGGCCAGAAGGACTCAGGCAACTGGGCTGATGGCATAATCCTTGTCTGAAAGTGAGAATTGAGAGAGAGAAGGATTTCCATTTTATTTTCACGGCTGGAGGACACGGGAGAAGGGACAAGATAATAAACTCCTTTTTTTTTTCGGTCTTGTTGATTTTTCAGGTAATGGGCCTTCCAAACTCATTCCAGAAGCATGAGTTTGGGGCCAGGCTGGGTGGAAGATCTGGAGGTCATCGGTGCCCCTAGGAAGCTGCAGGAATCGAGGCAGCTGGGAGAGGTTGGAGTGTGGGGAGAAACAGGCTGGAGACAGAATCCAAGCTCTCAAGGCATCGCTCAGAGCCCACGCTCAGAAAAGCCCCGAGCTTAGTTCAATGCTATGCTGTCGCCACCCTTCTCAGAAATTCCTACCGATTTTTCAATTATTAAGAATCAGGGGCCACATTTTCGTTTTGCACTGGGCCCCCTGAACCACGTGCCCAGTCCTGCCCCTGACGCTGTCCTTCACTCCTAGGGCAGGGCTGCAACATGGTGGGCACCAGGTGCCCACGGAGACGGAAGCATGTGGTCGGATGGAAGAGGTGCCAGGAGCCAGCAGAGTGGCGGAAGCAGAGGAGAGGGTTTCAGAGGGGAGGTGCGTCCCTGGGTTCTTTGCCCTGGACCACAGTGAGGATGGCAGAGCATTTGCCCCCAGGCGTGCGGTCCTGCCAGTTGAGGCCAATGCCCACCAGCGAGCGGAGTGGCTGCTATTCCCAGACTCTTTTTCCACTCAGACCCTCCATCCTTCCAAACTGAAGACAAAGCAGGGTCTCTGATGAGGGGCTGATGTTTGTTTCCACCCAGCCCGTTGACACAACTTCGGATTTTTCTTTAGGGAGCTTCTTTCTCCAGAAAGCACTGCTGGTACTGATTACACCCTGACTGGGGGAAATGACCACCATAAAGATATCAATCCCCATGGACTTCCTCGCCCCTGCAGGGGAGGTCTCCAGCTGGGCCAGCTCAGGCCCCATCCTCAGTACCCCTTCTGTAGCGGGCTGGAAGCCCCAGAACTTCTCCCTGAGCCATCGCAGCCAAGGTGACAGACCTGGTTGGAAAACAGGTGCTAACAGCCCAGAATGTGTCATCAGCCTGGGCTGAGATTGTAACTTCTCCCCACGGACCCCTCCCCCATCACCATCGGCACCACCAAAGGAAGGAAAGAAAATACTCCAGAGGGACTGGATTAAGGTCTTTCAGCTCAGAAAGAGGGGGATTAGGCAGAAGCTGGTAAAGAAATGGTCTTCTGGGAATTCCCTGGCGGTCCAGTGGTTAGGACTCTGCACTTCCACTGCAGGCCTGGGTTTGATCTCTGGTAGGGGAAGTAATATCCCACAAGCCGTGCAGCATGGCCAAAAACAAGATAGTCTTCCTTTCCAGGAAGAACTGAGCCACAGGAAATGGTCTTAAACATCCACAGGGAAGATTTTGATCAGGGGTGAAAAAGAGTTTCACAATAGCACAGATCTTGAGAGACCTACAGAGAACACCGAATGAGAAAATTGACCTGTGCAGGCGCATCGGCTACGTGGGGGGAGTCTCTGTATTCCACGAAGCCCCTCTCACAGGCTTTGCATAGGTGGTTGGTAAGTAAACGCCTGAAGTTATGCATGAAAGCTTTTCTAAGATATCCCAAGAGATACCAGCTGCATTTCCAAGAACCAGGCTCTCCAAACAAAAATCTGGGTCCAAAGTCCTCTACGTAATTTTGAAAGTAAATTTTCAGTTCTTGGATCTGGAGGCTTTGTGGCCTCATCTAAGTCTCAGATTCTGCACAGTCACAATTTCAAAAAATAATACAGTGTTCCCAGCGGAGACGCTCCGGGACTGGAGGAGGACTCTTTGTAACCCAAAACCTGTGAGGAAACTCAGTTCTGGCGCCAAAGAGAGGTTTCCACTGAAAGGGAACAAAAACAGGCAAAGAGGTTTTGCAACAGGCAAGCGCTCTGTTTAAAAAAAATGCAGGGACGTCAGGAAACTCCAAAGAACTGGCTAAAAACAAGATTTCTTTAACCTAGAACATGGGGACTTCAACAAGGCGTAGGAAATTGGATGCTGGAATCCGGCCCCACCAACATTCTCAATTCTAACCTTCGTCGACCTGCTGGAAGGGAGGTGGTAGGTGAGGAAAAGGACATTTCCTTCATCTGGGATCGCATCTTCATCAGGACTGGTCTCTGCTATTGTGCAGACAAAGCTCCATTCATGGTGCTTGGAGAAGGAACTATCAGATACTGATTCCAACGTGAGTTTCATTCATTCATTTATAAATCTTACAATTATTTGTTGACTGTCTGCTCCCTGCCAGGCACTAGGCTGTTTACTGGAGATGAGAAACACCTGCCTTCAGGTAGCTACTGTTCAGTGAAAGCACCAACAGGTGGGCTGCAGAACTGAAACATCTCCAGGACCGGAGATCCCGAGTCACCCAAGAGATGTGGGGTGCATCACAACTGCCCAAGCTACATCATTGTGTGTATTCCCAACACATGAAAACCTCAGTGCTGATTAGGCTTTGAGAGGAACCAAGTCCATCCCTTACTGTGTTACATCTGATGATTGCAAGATTTTTCCCCAGCCCAGCCTCAAGCTCCATAAATGTCGAGTCTCATTTCTCTTCGCCACCCCATCCTCCCGTGCCCTGGAGTCATCGGATGTCTTCACGTGGCACTGAGACCACAGAGCAGTGGTGGGAGAAGCATCCCGGAGGCCGTTTCTCTACCAGAATGTGTGTGGATAACGTGACTGTACACGGAGTGACTGCAGCCTGCCTAAATCAGGGAGGAAAGTGAGGGCAGCTGTGACCGACCGCACCTACAAATTGTCTGCAAACACACCACGGGAGCACCTTGCAGGGACACTCCCGGGCTGTGGAGGGAGTCGCCCTACGAGGGTCCAGAAGCAGAAGCCTGAGTCTACTTTTCCTCAAGGTCAGTGCAGGTCTGGGGGAAGGTCTACATGTTCCGAGAAGTCATCTCGGTGGTCGAGATTCTCGGCCCCGCAAGTCACCTCGGGTCTGTGTCCAAGAGTCGCAAACATTTAAATCAGGCTCTTCCTAAATGCCAAGAAAAGATGTGGTGATGCCAATCCTGTACCCTGTTTTTAGATCTAACTTCCTCTCTCCCTCCATGCCCCCCATCCCCTGATGTGTGGGCTTCTCTCTGCCAGACCTCTCGTGCTGTCGGTTTTCTGTTTCTGATTCTCGATGTGTTTAACTCTCTTTCGAAGCCTTCTCATCGTTTTCTTTCCATTCTTCCCTCGTTTAGACCTGTATTCCCCTGTCTTCTCTCCTCTGTCTCTTTCTCTCTCCTCCTCTCCCCTGCTGTCACCAGCATCTCTCTACTTTAAGATCTGCCCCCTCCATCCCTCCTTCCTTTTACTCTAAGCTTTCCCTCAATTACTTCTGTCTCTGGTCTCCACATCCCACTCTGGACTCTCCCACCCACCCCCATCTTTCCCTGGAGCTTCCACTTCTTTCCAAATACAACCAACCTCCACTTCATCCTGACATATTTTTCCCCTCTATTCAGTAGTTGTTTAAGAACTTGCTCTTGGGACACAGCCTTATTGCAGTCTGTTTTTCCTTCCTGTGGCCTGAAAGCCCTGAGCAGCCTTTCCCTTCAGGCTGCAGGACGGGAGCAAGGCCAGGAACAGCAGGAGCTGGTCCAGGGCCCCTCGCCCCTGTGTTTGCAGGCACTGCCCTAGAGGGAAGGGTTTCTTGGGATGTCCTCTGTCTCAGACATGATGGAGAAGAACATGTCGGTTAGTTGGAAATCCCTCTTAACTCTGTTTTTTCTCTAATTCCCTCTAATTCTATCTGTTTTTGTCTGACTTTCTACGGAAACCTATACCTATATGTTCACCACTCCACTAACAGGTTCTACTAGAACACCCTCTATGAGCCATAAAGAGCAAAACAAAGTCCCTGTCCTCAAGAAATGTACGGTCCAGGGTCTATGGACACGAAACTATCACCTATAAATAGTCATCTAAGTAATAAAATGTACAATGTTGATCATACGGGTGCAGGTCAGGGAAGGGAGAACCCAGCCTGAGCCTCAGGACTGGAGGTTCCCAAGGAGACAGTGAGAGACAGGGCAGCAGGTCCCCTGGGAGCCAGCTCAGTTGCGGGGGGGGGGGGGGGGGGGGGGTCACAGAGGGGCGGGGAGAAGGACCTTTAAATTAAGTGATAGTGGAGGGAACCCATTCACCCCCCAGAGCTCTCGGTCCCTCCCTGACACACCTGCAGGTTCCACTCCCTTCCGGCCACTAGGAAATTGGGTTATAAAATCCAACTGATATCCTGATTCTTGGGAACTTCTTGATTACAGCCACCTGCTTTGGGGATTACGGACCCAGAAGGGAGGGGAAGAGCCCAGAGGAAGGTGTATGGCAGACATCCGGGGATTTGTCTTCCCCTTTCGGGTGAATCTTTGGATTTAATATCCATATTTTCCTCACTGGAAATGAAATTACATGGTGCGGTAAGTACTCTTACACTAAAAGAACAAATTGGAACTTTCCCAAAAAATCCAAATTAGTTACCTAATAATCCCAATTATATGCAAAGGCTTCCAGAAATACCTGAAGAAGAGCAGTTTTTGCAGAACCTTACCCACGGGCACAGCACACTTCAAACTCCTTTTAATGCCATTGTCCTTCTATTTGCTCTTCAGTGAGAGAATCACGGACGCTTAAAAGCAAATCATTGTAGTGACCCAAGAGATTAAAAAGCCCAGCTCCCTCATGAGGAGAAGAACATCACTGTAACATGTACACAGTTCTTAGCATTTGCCAAGGGCTTTAACAAATGCTGGCTCTGGCTTATTTAATACAACAACTTGGAATATTATTATTCCCATTTTATAGATGCTGAAAATGAAGCGCAGTAAGAATAACTGAGATGGCTGGATTGCTGTGTTAAGTAAATGATAGCCCAGTTCTTTGAACCTATATCCTATACACAAGCCACTGCTCTTTTTATTAAAAAAAAAAGTTTCTGATCATAAAAGCGAGATTTTTTTAAACTTTAATGCAGAAAAAGATAAGGAAGAAAATAAAGAGCAGTCAACATTTGGTGTATAGCCTTCCAGGATTTTTCTCATGTAGATATGTGTGTATTTAAAAAATAAAACTGGGATCACACTGTGCATACATTTTATAATTTATATATTTTATGTAACAGTACATCCATGAGCATTTTCTTATAGTCCAAGATATGGATACCAAGATAGATCATATTCTGTGCCCGAAGACCAATCTCAACACATTCAGAAAAATCTTAACAGAATATATTATCCAGCCATATGGAATCAAATAACAAAAAGAAATCAATAACAAAAGGATAATAGGAAAACCTCAAATCACTAAATACACATCTAAACAATCCATGGGTCAAAGAGGAAGTCTCAAAGTCAATTTTAAAGAAACGCATTGAACTGGATGAAAGTGAAAACACAATACTTTGAAACTTGTGGGACACTGCTAAGGCAGCACTGCAAGGAAAATTTATAGGACTAAGTGAATATATTAGAAAAGAGGAAAAACCTCAAATGAATAACCTAAGCTCCCACCTCAAGAACCTAGAAAGAGAAGAGCAACATAAATCCAGGGAAAGCAGAAATAAGGAAATAACAAAGAGAAAAGCCAAAATCAATTAAATTAAAAACAGAAAATTGGAGAAAATCAACAAAACAAAGGGCTAGGTTTTTGGTAAGATCAATAAAATTGACAAACCTCTAGCAAGACTGACAAAGATAAAAAGAGAAGACACAAATTACAAATAGGAACAAAATAAAATAAAATACCACCGCAGACCCTAGAGACATCAAAAAGATATTGATGGAATGCTACAAACAATTCTCCCACATAAATCTGACAACTGGACGAAATGGACCAATTCCTTGAAAAACACAAACTACAACAACTTACCCAAAATGAAATAGATAATTTGAAGAGCCCTATAACTATCAAAGAAATTGAATTTGTAATTTTAAAACTCCCCCCAAAATAAATCTCCAGATCCAGAAGATCTATACAATCTCTTACAGAGAAGAGAAGGAACATTTCCCAATTCATTTTATGGAACCAGCACTACCCTAACACCAAAAGCAGTGTACAAAAAAAGAGGAAACTATAGACCACTATCCTCAATGACTACAGATGCAAAATCCATTTTAAAATAGTAGCAAATAGAATTCAACAATATCTAAAAAGAATTATACACTGTTACCAAGTGGGTTTATTCCAGAAATACAAGACTGGTTCAATGTTCAAAATCCATTGGTGGATATTAAAAAATTAATTAAATTAATTTTTTAAAAAAATTCATTGGTGCAATTCACCATATTAATAGGCAAAAGAAGAAAATTCACATGATCATATTAATTGATACAGAAAGAAAATTGACAAAATTCAACACTCATTTATAATTTTAAAACTATCAGAAAAAAAGGAGTAGAGAAGAACTTCTTCAACTTGATAAACAGCATCTGCAAAAGCCTACAGCTAACATTATACCTAACAGTGAAAGACTGAGTGCTTTTCCCTAAGGTCAGGAATGTCCACTCCAGACTGGGAGAAAATATTTGCAAACCACATATTTGACAAAGGACTAGTATCTAGAATCTGTAAAGAACCCTCAAAAGTCAACAGTAAAAAAAATCCAATCAGCAAATAATGGGCAAAGAACATGAGGAGACATTTCATCAAAGAGGATGCACAGGTGGCAAATAAGCACATGAAAAGATGCTTAATATTATTTATTAGGGAAATGCCAATTAAAACCACAATGAGACATCATTATGTATCTTCATGATTGAAATAAAAAAGAGTGACAGCACCACATGGGCAATGATGCAGAGAAACTAGATCATATATGCATTGTAGGCAGGGATGTAACATGGTACAGCCACTCTGGAGAACAGGTTGGCAGTTTCTTAAGAAAAAAACTAAAAACCAGGCTTCCCTGGTGGCACAGTGGTTGAGAGTCCGCCTGCCGATGCAGGGGACACGGGTTCGTGCCCCGGTCCGGGAAGATCCCACATGCCGCGGAGCGGCTGGGCCCATGAGCTATGGCCGCTGAGCCTGCGCGTCTGGAGCCTGTGCTCCGCAACGGGAGAGACCACAACAGTGAGAGGCCCGCGTACCGCAAAAAGTAAAAAATAAAAAAAACCTGAAAACCTAAACATGCAACTACCATACAACCCAAGTAGTTGCACACTTGGGCATTATCCCAGAGAAATAACTTATATTTAAATTTTAAGTACACAAATGTTTATAGTAGCTTTGTTATGCTCTAAAACTGTAAACAGCCTGATGTCCTTCACTGGGTGAATGCGGTCCATCCACACTATGGACTATTACGTGGCACTAAAAAGGAATGAATGATTGATACATGTAACAACCTAGAGGAATCTCCAGAGAATTACGCTGAGTGAAAAAAATTGAATCACTAAAGGTTGTATACTGTACAATTCCATTTATGTAACATTTTTGAAATGACAAAATTATAGATATGGAGAACAGATTAGGGATTGCCAGGAGTTAAGATGGGAATGGGGACAGAAAGCGGGCATAGCCCTTAGAGGGCATCCTGAGGGATCCTAGCAGTGATGGGAACGTTCTGTGCCTTATGTATTAATGTCAGTATCCGTTGTGGTGTTGTACTACTTATAGTTTTGCAAAACATTACCATTGGGGAAAATTGGTGAAGGGTACACAGGACCTCTCTGTATTATTCCTTAAAGCCGAGTGTGAACCTACAATTATCTCAAAATAAAACATTTAATTTTTTTTAATTAGATAAAACTGGGATCATACTTTACATATGTTTTATATTTTATCTTTTATAATATATCATGAGCATTTTCTCTTGGTCTAAAGTAGTCTTATATTTGTTGACTGCTTATATTTCATCTATGGATATATTATAATTTTTTAATTATTTTAATTATTTTTAAATTATTTTAATTATTTTTCCTAGGGATCTGGATTATTTTTAAATATTTTGCTATTATTATTTTAAAATGCTGAGAACAGCATCCTGGTGTCCATTTTTTTAAAAACAGCTCTAATGAGATACAAATAACATACCATACAAGTCACCTGTTTAGAGTGTACAGTTTAATGTTTTTTAGTATTTTCAGTGTGGTACAACCATCACCACAATCTAATTTTAGAATGTTTTTGTTCCCCCTAAAATAAGCCCTATACCCATAGCAGCCCATCTCTGTTCCTCCCTGCTCACCTGCCCCAGCCCTAATCAACCACTAATCTACTTTCCGTCTCTATCAATTTCCCTATAGAGACAGTTCTGGACATTTCATATAGATGGAATCATACAGTATATGGCCTTTTGTGAGAGGCTTCTTTCATTTGACGTTTTCAAGGGTCATCCGTGTTGTGGGAAGTGTCAGGGCTTCTTTCCCTTTATTGCTGAATAATATTCCCTTGTATGAATATGTCACATTTTATCCACTCAACAGCTGACGAACATTGGCTCGTTTTCATTTGAGTGGCAAATATAAACAGTGCTGCCATAAACATTCCCATATAACATTTTTTTTACGGACGTATGTTTTTATTTCCTAGGAGGGGAATTGCTGTGTCATATGGTAATCCTATGTCTAACTTTTTAACCTAGTGTCCATTTCTGATTATTGCTTTAAGGTACATTCTTAGCCATGAAAATAACTGGTCAAATCATAGCGCATCTTTAAAGTTTCTCATGCACAGTGCCAAATTATGCTCCTCAAAATTCTGCCCCGACCAGAGCAGGAGGACACTTTGACAGTACAAAGCCGGGCTCCAGAGGTTCTTCCAGGATTGGTCCCACAGTTATCTGCTTGGAGCTGCAGCAACTGCCGAGGCAGCCCACTCCTTTCCGGGACAAGGCTTAGTAGAAGGAACCAGAAGACCCGCCTTCCTCTCCCAGGCCTGCTGCTTGCTGGCCATGCAACCTCCGGCAAGGTATTTATTTCCTCTTTTGCAAAAGGAAGTTAACGCTCGTCTGCCTACCCCACTCAACGTTGGCAGATCAACGTAACAACTCGGTGTAGGAATGCTTTTCCAATGTGGACATACCCAGACACGAGTGAGTCTGGCCAAAGGGATCACTTTTTGAGAAGCGCTGCTTAACTGGGTTGTCCACTGAGCCTTGATTTTGGGGTGGAACTCGGTAGTCAGGGGTCAGTGTTTGGTTGGCTCAAGATATATCTACTTTAACAGAACCTGAGGACAAAAAAGCTTCCTTTTTTTTTACCATGAATGTGATTGCACAGCACACTTTTGATGTGTCATTAAGCTATACACACACACACACACACACACACACACACACATCCCAGCAGTAGCTCAGTTAGGGAGGGACAGAGAGGGCCGAGATGCCAGGGAGTCCGTACCTCGATTGTAGGGTTTTCTTATTATTGATAGAAACTTCTTCCCACCATTGGGATAAAATGTGCTCTCCAGAAATTCTCACCATTAGTCCTTACTCTGCCCTCGGTCCTGCGGCCATGGCAAGGTTGCCTTTCTGAGACTCTTCCCACAAGGCCAGGGCCTTCGTCCATGGCCCAGTAGACAGTGGGCCTGCACATGAGCCCGAGGAGAGCTCTGTTCATTTTAACAGATGAGGAAACGGAGCTTATAATGGAGAGGGAGAAGAGCTCATAAACTCACAGGGTTGCCTCTGAGTCAAGACAGAAACTACTGAATTCTTCCTTCTCTAGCTGCCTTGGGCCTGAGAGCTCTGCCCCATCAGAGCCCCCCAGAAACACTCTCCTGTCTGCCCCCTAAGGATGGTTCCCCTGTCCACACATCCACCTCCCCCTAAGCCCAGCCTGGCTAAGAGCACAAGGGCCTCCCCAGCCAGGGTGTCTGGGACTGAGAAGCCCTTACTTCCTCGTTTCTTTCCACACGGCTGGGCCCAGTTATACTAGATTATGTGCATTTGGAGCCCCAGTCTCAGGAGCAAAGGCATAATTTCCCCCCAAGGGCACTGTTCCATGCATGCCAGAGGGATGAATTGACACTATTGGATTAACCCTGGAAGCAGGCCCGCCCTGTTCCCTCTCACAGGTTGTGCGCGACGGCACAACTTCAGGGGTGCCGGGCATACAGTGACCTGCCTAGAGGGATTTATGATTTCATGGGAACAAACAAACCTTAATATAGATCTCTCTTTACTGTAGACAGAAGGGTCGGGAACAAGCAGACTGTCCACATCAGTTCAGAAATGACAGTGGAGGATCCCAGGCTAAGCCCGAGCTGAGTCCCAAGTGACCTGCTTCCAGCCCCAGCTCAGCCGGGGACCAGCTGGTTAACCTGAGGCAGGAGCCTTAGTTGCATCACTCCCAACAATACAAAACATGCACAAGTACTGCAGAGCTATATAATTTAATAAGTATCACGTATCATTGTTTGGAAAATTAAAATTCAGCTGGACTAAAGACCTCAGAAATCCCTGCTGGCTGCGTGGCTCTAGCGTTCTCTACGGCAGACGAAGAGGGTTAATTGGTAGAGGACTCGGGGTGGGAGATGGGGAGGGAAGCCAGGTGGTTTTACCTAAACACTAAAAGCAGAGAAACAAGCACACACCCTCTCCCAATTCTGTGATTTTTTTCACCCGTCTCAGCTGGAACAAAAGGCCTTTTGTGAGCTTAGTGGAGCCTGACTTCGCACACTTTTCTGTCTCCTTCTCCTTCTGTGTGGGAAAAAACAAGCCGTTCCATCCGGGTTTGCTAGGTTCCTTTGAAGGCCTTGCGGCTTTGGTTCAGGCAAACAGGAACCTGGCCGGGCCGCCTCCGCCCTGCTGAGGGAGCTTTTTGGCAGGACTTTCTCCCGGCCTCCTCGTGCAGAGATTGCAGAGGGGGAGGGGAAGGGGAGCACGGGATGGGCGTGGGGGGAGAGCAGGGCTGCAGGTGCTGTGCCAGGCGAGGGACCTGAGTGCTTAGCAAGCAGGGCGCTGGGCCCTTTCTTGTGTGATGGGAACCCACCGACATCCCCTCACTGAATCCTCTCCTGCGCCCAGGGAGGAGGCGGGAACCACGGCCTGGTTCCACATCAGGAACCGAAGCTCGCAGGGCGGCCTGCCTTTGCCGGAGGCCACACGGACCAGGTGAGTCTCACCCCGTGGCCTTTGCTCCTTCATGGGAGCCGTCCGCTCCCCAGAAAGTCCCGGCCTCCCTCATCCTTCGCAAACCCAGAACCGGGGCCTCCACGGAGGCAGCGGGATAGCGGAGCCTGAAATCACGTCTCAGTGACTTGAGACTGGGGTCAGTTCCCCAGCATCGGGGAGGAGAGCAGGTTCACGCTCAGACTCCAGGTGCTGTGAGCCCGGTGCACTCTGCTCACGCCCCCGCCCCGGGGCTGCTTCCACTCGGTGCCGGAGGGGGGTTGGCCCCGCGCGGCCTGCCCGTTGCACGCTCACACTCTTACGCTCACTCACACTCATATATTCACACTTATGTGCACTCGCACACAGCCGCTCACCCACAATCACACACACACACCCCTCCCAGCGCACCACGGGGCGCTAACACCCAGGCACCTTCCAGGAGCGCGGAGCCTCTGTCTGCACGTGGGGTGCGTCGCGGCCAGTGCACAGCTCAGCAGTCACGCAGGCTGACTAATGCTGGGTCAACCCGGAGGATACACGGGGGCCTCGGGTTGGAGGGATGAAGTCAGTTTCACGCAGTATCCTCTCATCGGAGTGGAGTGCCTGAACTAAGGGGGAGGGAAGGAAGGTCTGTCAGGAGCCCACATTTGGGGCAGAGGTCTGTGAGGGGCCCTTGCGGGAAATCAGGACCGCACTGGGAGATTCAACGGCCTCATAGCGCCCATCCCTGTACACACGCACACATGCTCACACACACATGCACACTCACACAGCAGCCGCACGGCCTGGTCAGCTCCCCGAATGCTGCAGGGCTGGACAGACGAAAGAGCAGAGTTTCTGAATATCCTCATTATGACCAGCATTCGCTGAACCCTCAGTAAGTGCTCGGCTTTCTGCTGAGCTCTTTCCATACAAAAAAGAAATTTCCAATTAATTCGCATGACAACCCAGTAAGGTAGGCACCGTTGTCCCCATTTTCCAGATGAGGCCACTGAGGCTTAGGGCTCTGGTGACTTCTCCAAGCTCCCACCGCTGATAAGGGGCCAGAGAGCCACTTGGTAACCAGCTCACTCATCCCTCCCCTGCGGGGCCTCTCGGGCACCGTGAAAGCCCCTGCCCGCTGAGCACCTGCACTCAGAGGGCAATGCCCAGAGCCTGACTTTAAGTCACTGCTTTTAGCCGTTCAGCATTTCTGTGCCACAGTGGATGGACTTGCAGAGCAGGACGAGGCCTTTCTTCTCACTGGCCCCCCACTGTGGAGGCCTAGTGGGGACGATGTGGAAGCAGTGGCTGGGTGGGAGGCCAGGACACCTCCTATCTTTTGCTTCCCCAGCAGCCTCTGATGATTTGTAAGGAGGCATGAGTTAGGGAGCCGGAATGGAGAGGGGAGTGGGGCTGAACCACACCATACCTCCCCAAAGATGTCATGCTAATCCCCAGGACCTGGGACTCACAAGGCAAAAGGGACTTTGCAGATATGACGAAACTAAAAGTCTTGAGCTGGGAGAATCCCTGGGTTATGCGGTTGGATTATAGCCAGTGTGACCACAGGGTCATCGCACATGGGCCTCCGTCCTCCCTGCCCTCGGACAGCAGCTCCCCTGCTTCGGTTTTGGACTGAAACTACACCACCAGCTTTTTCTTCCAAGGGGCAGGCAGGAGGGTCAGGTCAGCAGCAGGAGCTCACAGATGGTGGAGTAGGTGAGGAAGGGGCCACGAGCCAGGGACTGCACAGCCTCTAGAAAAAGCCAAGGAAATGGATTCTCCTCGACACCTCCAGAAAGAACCAGCCCCTCAAAGCCTTGGTTCTAGACTTCTGATCTCCCGGACCATCGGAGAATGCATCTATGTTGTTTGAAGCCACTGAGTTTGTGGTAATTTGTCACATGCAGGAAACTAATACAGAGGGAAACCAGCGCAAGGAGGATTCAAATCAGCTGGAGAAGATGCTGGGGACTGGTTTAGTCCACTCCGGCTGCCATACCAGAGCACCACACGGGGGCTTAAACAACAGACAGTCACTGTCTCAGTCTGGAGTCTGGGAGTCCGAGATCAAGGTGTCAGCACAGCTGGTCTCCTCGGAGGCCTCTCTCCTTGCTGTGTAGGCGGCCACCCTCTTCACGTGGCCATCCCTGTGGGCACACGCACTCCTGGCTTCTCCCTGTGTCCTAATCTTTTCTTATAGGGACACCAGCCAGATTATGGGCCTCATTTTAACAAATCATCTCTGTGAAGACCCTGTTTCCAAATAGTCACGTTCTGAGGTGCGGGGGGAGGGGTTAGGGCTTCAACATGGGAATTCGGGGGCACGTAACAGGGAGCCTCCAAGCCTGCCTCATTCCCACAAGGCCCTCACTTTTCTGGCAGCTTCCAGACCTCCCTAGGGCCCAGCTTGAGCCCAGGCAGCCTCAGCCTGTAGAACCAGTTAGAGCTGCCAAGAGAACAGGTCGGGGCAGTCCAGGGGGTGTGGGTTTGCAGAAGAGACCTGGAGTTCCCTGAGGACTGGTGGTCAGGACAGGACCCAGGCACCGGGCATGGAGGAACTCAATCTCTCCCAGGCCAGACCCCAGAGCCACTCTCCCAGTCCTAACAAGGGCCGCTGAAGGCACCGGGGAACAAGCGGCAGTGGCGGGTGGCAGGCAGTGGGATCGGGAGTTAGACCTGCTCTGGTGACTTGGCTCTTTGCAGGGACATTGACACAGAAGGGCCAGAAGAGGCAGTGAAGCATGCAACATGCAGCCCCCAATGCAGCCCAGGACTGAGAGAGGAGAGGTCTCCTGATTCCTCCCTCTCCCGACACCACCCAGGCCCCTGATCACACGTGGCCCCAGAGCCTCAGGCAGCAGGAGTGACGCAGACTGCCTTCCAGACTCCCTCCTCGCTGACCTGTATCCTCCAGCCTCCACTGGGCTCCCCTCCCCACTTCTCCAGGCCAGGATGGACTCGCTCACACCCACAAACTGCAAAGGTGCAGGGCGTGTTTCAGACAGAAGACAGCCCATGCCAGGTACGCGAATGGAGAAGATTCGATACATATAGTTACATAAGGTATAAAATTGCTATGCTGGTGACTCAAAAGGTAAAGAGAACTTGACAGTATCATCCCCGAGGCTGAGGCAGCAAAGGGAACGGCTGGGATTATTAAAACGCGGAAACATGGGCCTGGGACCCCAACCTCGGAGGGAGGGGGTCTGGCGGATGCTGGCGTGTCTGAGGTGCCATGAAGTTGTTTTTACAAGCGTTGGAAAAGCCACGAAGGGATTCAGCTCCCCACCCCGATCCTCTGCCTCTGAGACGCTGAGTGTTTCTACAGCTTCTTCATAAAAACACAACTCACATCCACGCGGAGAGAATCACATCCTTCCCGAACTCTTTCCTCCTGCATCACCACCGGCCTGTCTCAGCCAAGGGTGAAAAGTCTCGGAATCTAACAGGGTGACCGTTGAACCCAACCCTGACCCTTTTTCTCTCTTGCTACTTCAGCTTGTGTGATGGTTGATTTTAGGTGTCAACCTCATGGGGCTGACTGATGCCCAGGTAGCTGGTAGAATATGATTTCTGCCTGTGGCTACGAGGGCGTTTCTAGAAGAGATTCACATTTGAATCGGTGGGTGAGGAAAGCTGACCCCCCTCCCCGAGGTGATGGACCACGTTCAATTCTTTGAGGGCTCACGTGGAACCAAAGGTGGAGGAAGGGGAATCCACTCTCTCTGTTGAGCTAGGACGTCCATATTCTCCTGCCCTCAGACGTCGGTGCTTGTGGTTTTCAGGCCTTTGGACTTGGATTGAATCACACCCCAGCTCTCCTGGGCCTCTCAGATGGTGGGACTTCTGACTTCTCAGCCTCCATAATCACGTGAGTCAATTCCTAGCATGAATCTCCTATATCTCTGTATACCCTGTTGGAGAACCCTGACTAATATGCCAGCAGTGTCTCTCTTTGCCTTGAAGACGTTCATTTTATTTTATTTTTTATTGAAGTAGAGTTGATTTACAATATTATATTAGTTTCAGGTATACAACACAGTGAGTCAATATGTTTATAGATTATACTCCATTTATAGTCATAAAATAATGGCTATATTCCCTGCGCTATGCAATATATCCTTGTAGCTTATTTATTTTAGACATTAATAGTTTGTATCTCTTAACCACCTACCCCATCTCACCCCTCCCTGCTTTCTTCTCCCCAATGGTAACCACTAGTGTGTTCTCTATATCAGTGAGTCTATTTCTGTTTTGTTATGTACATTCGTTGTTTTTTACATTCCACATATAAGTGGTAACAGAGTATTTGTCTTTCTGACTTATTTCACTAAGCATAATACCCTCTAGGTCCATCCGTGTTGTTGCAAATGGCAACACTTCATTCTTTTTTATGGCTGAGTAGTATTCCATTGTATATATATACCACACTTTCTTTATCCATTCATCTGCTGTTGGACACTTGGGTTGCTTCCATTTCTTGGCTATTGTAAATAATGCTGCTATGAACATTGGGGTGCATGTCTCTTTTCAAATTAGTGGTTTTGGTTTGGTTTTTATTTTTGGATATATACCCAGGAGTGGAATTGCTGGGTCATATGGTAGTTCTATTTTTAGGTTTTTGAGGAACCTCCATACTGTTCTCCATAGTGGCTGTACCAATTTACATTCCCACCAACGTGTAAGAGGGTTCTGTTTTCTCCACATCCTCACCAATATTTGTTGTTTATAGACTTTTTGATGATAGCCATTTTGAAAGGTGTGAGGTGGTATATCATTGTGGTTTTGATTTGCATTTCTCTGATGACTAATGATGTTGAGCATTTTTTTTATGTGCCTGTTGGCCATCTGTATGTCTTGTTTGGGAAAATGTCTATTCAGGTCTTCTGCCCATTTTTAATCAGATTGTTTGGGTGTGTGTGTGTGTGTGTGTGTGTGTGTATGTGTGTGTGTGTGTGTGTTGAGTTGTATGAACTGTTTATGTACTTTGAGTATTAACCTCTTATTGGTCATATCATTTGCAAATATTTTCTCCCATTCAGTAGATTGTCTTTTTTGCTTTGCTTGGTTTCCTTTGCTGTACAAAAGCTTTTAATTTTAATTAGGTCCCATTTTGTTTATTTTTGCTTTCATTTCTTTTGCCTTAGATGACAGGTTTTTTTTAAATGTTGCTTTGATTTATGTCAAAGAGTGTTCTGCCTACGTTTTCTTCTAGGAGTTTATGGTTTCAGGTCTTACAGTTAGGTCTTTAATCCATTTTGAGTTTATTTTTGTATATGATGTGAGGAAATGTTCTAATTTCATTCTTTTACATGTAGCTGTCCAGTTTTGCCAGCACCACTTATTGAAGAGACTGTGTTTCCTCCATTGATTATTCTTGCCTCCTTTGTCATAGATTAATTGACCATATAAGTGTGGGTTTATTTCTGGGCTCTCTATTCTGTTCCATTGATCTATGTGTCTGTTTTTGTGCCAGTACCATGCTGTTTTGCTTACTGTAGCTTTGTAGTATAATCTGAATTCAGGGCCTGTGATGCCTCCAGCTCTGTTTTTCTTATCAAGGTTGTTTTGGCAATTTGGGGTCTTTTTGGTTCCATATAAATTTTAGGATGATTTGTTCTAGTTCTGTGAAAAATGTCATGGGTATTTTGATAGGGATTGCATTAAGTCTGTAGATTTCTTTGGGTAATATGGGCATTTTAACAATATTAAATTCTTCCAACCCATGAACACAGGATATCTTTCCATTTCTTTGCATCATCTTCAATTTCCTTCATTATTGTTTTACAGTTTTCAGAGTGTGGGTCTTTCACCTCCTTGGTTAAGTTTATTCCTAGGTATTTTTTTAATGCGATTGTAAATGGGATTATTTTCTTGCTCTTCTTTCTTATAGTTCATTATTAGTGTATAGAAAAGCAACAGATTTCTGTATATTAATCTTGTGTCCTACAACTTTACTGAATTCATTTACTAGTTCTAATAGGGTTTTTTTGGAGACTTTAGGGTTTTCTATATATAGTATTGTGTCATGCAGCAGGGTCTCTCTGGTCTGGCATCCCCCTACCTGTGGCTGGGAGGCTGGGTACACATAGGACCATGGGAGGTTTTCAGTGTAATTATCCGGGCTGGGTCCCTAGGACAAATGATTTCCAGTTAGTCGCCTGCACTCGGTGAGGGATCCCAGGAGATAGGCTGGCAATCCTGTTCTCATCCACGCCCCTGTGAACCCATGCATGTGCCCACGTGTCCTACCCAGCACCAGTCCAGAGTGTGGGCCGTAATTCCATATAATACAGCGGCCCTGAGCCCCAGGATTTTTTTTAACTTTTCATCACTTGTTTGCTCTCCAGCACATGTGTTTGAGGAGCTTTGTTCTTAGAGCAAGACACTGTCAAACCTCACTTATAGGAAAGTCCAGAAAGGATGGTTTTCCTATTAGGATAATTTGAGGAGGGCATGATAAAGGGACTGGTTATGAAGGGTTAGAGGGTAGGTCCCTGGAGAAAATCTACCTTTCTGTAAACTATACCTCTTGGAAAATGGCATTGCTGCTCCAAGGTGACCCCAAGGGCTCTCACCCCAAAAGCCCTGATGGACACAGGACAGCCCAGAGTCCCAAGTGGAGTCCTAGGGAGACAAGGGTGGTTTTAGGGTCTGAGAATGATGTGGACCATTCTGTGGGTCCCTAGCGATCCAGACCTCGAGCTTGAGAACCAGTGGGTTTCCCTGGCGTTATCCCCTCTCTTTCCAGCACATTCTCTGTGGAACCTTGGGATTTCCATAGGCTGCTTTGATTTAAAGCCAAATCTGAGATGACCCGGTGGGACCATCCACCTACCTCGCTCTGTGTGGCTCGGTGACCCCCATGGATTTCCCTCTGAGGCTCCTGCCCTCCCCCACATCAAGAGCTGCTGTAGGGAACACGGGTCCCATAATTGATGGGGGTCAGCTCCCCACAGGTCATTCTCCTGGAGTCACCTTCCTCTCCAGCTAGCAGTCCACACCCAGAGAGCAGCACCACTCACCCAGGAGGGACGAGTCTGTGTGGCACTGCCCCACGGGGCCGACATTACCCAGCGCCCCTTTGCATGTCCCTCAAGGCTCCTCAAGTGCACTCGGCACTGCCAGTCGAGGGCAAGCACAGGGCCACGTTTCAGCCTTCTCCGGGCTGGCATTCGGGCTGGAGCCCAACACCCATCGCTCAGTTCAAAACCAAAAACAGTCCTGCAGGAAAACTCATCAGGCTCGGCTCCAGGCCAGCCAGTTAAAAGTGGATGCTGGTCCCTCAGAGGCTCACACAGATCATTTCTGCTAATGAAACAAATATTTTTCCAGACCAGTCTCGGTTTCCGCTACCGCCGTTGGCCCCAGTTGCTGGCACGCCATTGGACCCGTGCCCTGAGGAACAGCACAGATCAGGGAACAGACAGAGCTCCGGGGGCAACAGAAAAGACGTGTCTTCAGAGCAGAGGAGTCTGAGTCCAAACAGAAAGGGCGAGGGAGGAAGCACGGATGCTCCAGCCCTGAGTCACAACCAGCTTACAAATCCCAGCTCATTCACACACACACACACACACACACACACACACACACACACACACACAC